TTGAGAGGTTTATACAATTTTATTCTAAGGTTTCTTTTTTCCTTTTTTTATGTCACCTTAATTATCAGTTTTACTTAGGTACCTCCACGAAATCGCTAAAAAAAGAGCATAGCTTGATGAAAAAGACGCCAGCCTTGTCGAAAACAAATTTTTATTATCTAAATGCTTATGTTATTATTAAAAGGAAAGACCAAAGTTTTTTTTTAATTATTTTTAAAAAATTTTCCTTCTTTTTAGAACATTGTAAATTTTGATTAAAAAAAACCTTGTTTCTATTTGTATCAGCGGAACTAGTAAATAACATAGACAATTTTTAGCACGTTTTTTTGGTATGACACACATTAATTTGAAAAATCGTGCAAAAATAGAAATAATTATCGGATGTTAATGAAACTTTCAGGAACTATTCACAGATGATCGAAATTATTATAAATGTTTTTTTTATGAAAGTCATGGTAGAAATATTTTTAAAAATATTTATTACCTCCCCCCCTCCCCCCAAACTAATTTTATGAAAACGCTAGAAATTCGATCGCATCGGTTTTAGTGATTATAATAATTAAAAGCACAGGGCTTTGAGGAATGCAAATCATGTTTTTTTTTTTTTTTTTTTTTAATTGGATATGCAGTACCTGAAAATCAGCTCTGAATTGTAACATACAAAACTCAATAAAACAAAGATATTATTTAATTTCAAATGCTTTTATTTGCTTTTAGTTGTTTTTATGAATATGGACAATATTTTCTGAAAGCAAAAAAAATTTTTTTCGATGAAAAATTAATTTTTAATACAATTATTTGTTATTTCATTAATTATAATAGATTTTACATTTAAGTTGTTAAAATATTATAAAATTAGTTAAAAGTCAAGATCGGCTTTCATAAGTGTCCTTATGAGATAGATCTTTTTTTAGCGTTGTAAATTGTATCATTTTGACTAATCAGAAGATCCCCAGTAATTAAGAAATGTAATTTTGTGCTTATAATCGAGCTGTAATTATAAAATACGGAAGACCAACCAGAATATAATTAAGTTGCGTTATTTGAGTTAAGCATTGTTCTCCGCTGTTAAGGCCTTTACTTTTTATGAAACACGTGTGGAGAAGTTAATTTGATTTTTCAATTTCAACTGAGAAGGGTACCTACAAGTATCAGTATCATCTTATGAAATTTATATGATCTTATTTTTTTATATTAATCTCAGTTACGACATTTTTCCATAAATGAAATATCAAAATTAATAATAAAATGAATGCAAATACAAATAACAGTAGAATGTAATAAATGTACATAAAATTATAGTATTTTATGTACAATTTGATAAAATTTCATAAGAAAGGTACCTATAAATTAATTAGATACCTTTCTTAAGAAATATGAAATTTAATGTCACTCTTAACAGTTTTATTTTAATTTCTTTAGAATATATTTCCCATAAAGCATCATAAACGAAAAGCTAAGTACAAAAAAAAAAAAAAAAATTAGACCGCTGAAAGTTTTTTTGTTAAAAATAACGGGGTAAATAATTTGTTCACGTAAATGTAAATTATTTCACTTTTCTCCTCCGTAGAACAAATTAGCCTCATGGAATTCGTAAATATATCATTCATCACATGTCAAGAGACGCGAAAGTTTATGACCTGCTTTGTTTTATTTTCAAATTACATCTTTTTGGCACAAAAGCTAAGCTTAAGTTTGGTTCAAAAATATTTTAAATAAACATTATAATTTCTGATTTTCTTAAAATAAGTTTTGAAAAATGATAATTGATATTTAAAAAATTTCAAAGTCAGATTTCCAGTTTTTTTTAAAATGGAAAAAAATGGTCAATTTTGCTGACTCAAAAAAAATAGATTTTTAACGAAAATTTCGGACGTGCTAGGAACGATTAAAAAATGGAAAAAATACCCCCAAAAATACTTTGACCTTTCCTCTTAATAACAAACATTTAGACGATAAAATTTTGTTTTCGTCAAGTTTGGCGTCTTTTTCATCATGCTATGCTCTTTTTTTAGCGATCTCATGGACGTACCTAGTTTTACTAAAGTGTACTACTGATAAGGTTTATCCGTTAATTTGAATTTTGGTGATAAATTGGAAAAATTCAGTACTTCTATTTTAAAATTTTTGACTCAAAAACACTTTTTTCCTATAAAAAAATAGATTATTTCAGGCGGCTGACATAAATTACTCAGCCTACATGAAAACTGATGGTTTTCTACGACTTTTATTAACTGAATTTTGTAATCAGCCAAGATTGTAAATTGATCTTTTTTCAAAAAATGAGTAATTTCAGTTCAGCAAAAATGGTAGCTAACTATGAAAAACGAAGGTCATTTTCAAAATCAGCACCATCAAATTAGCTAAAAAACATGTTTTGTTTCTTGGCATCAAAAATTGTGTTGACCAGTGTTATTGTTCTGTCTCTCTCTATAACCAGAATGCTTAAATGCAAGATGATATAATATTTGGTTGTGAGGTGACTTGCAGAAAAAGGCAATATTTTATCCAAATATCAAAGAGTATTCCAGCATGACCACAACACTATTAACTCGTTTGTTTCAAATCCACATTATCACAGCCTGACTTTAAAAAGGTACACTATTTTGGAAGTATAGCAGCCTAAAGAAAGGCACATACAATCAATGTCTAAAAGGTAAAATGCATCAAACATTTTTTTTTTTTAATATTGTCTTCAAGATTCATATGAGGACAACATTATTTGGCTGAATTTCTGGCATGAGGAGTTATTATTTACATGCAGAGTTTTTTCCTCATTTTTGCTGCTGTTATCACCTTTCAGTTGTTGTGCTCTCTGGCCTTAATCAGATGCTTGTTGATCCAGGGAATTTTGAACTCTGCCCTTTATTTAATCTACAAGGGTAGATTGTCCTCCTTTGCTACCCATGTCAAGGGATATCTCATCTAATTTTTATGTAGTACAGCTATTGGTAATAGTCAAATGGATTAAAGTGTTTGTTAATTTCATGACATAGTAATTGTGAGTTCAATCCCTGGGGGTGAATAGTGTGTACTTGATGAACTCTGTGGAAATGGGGTGAGCATTAACTGAGCAGTTCCAAAAATAAGAATTAGATGAGATTTCTATAGAGATGGTCAGTGGAACAAAAACAGTGTATAACTCCACCCCAGTAGATTAAATGAAGGGTTCAGTTCAAAATTCCTTGAGCATTACCTTGATCAACAAGCATCTGATGAAGATGCAGTGTCTGAAACTTGATAGCAACAACAATGATGATGACAATATAACATCATCTGAACTTCACAAACAAGAAATGGGTGTGTACCAGGGCATCATAATTTTTTTCATGGATGATTTCTTTGCTACCTACTCTTTGCCATATATGTTAACAGCTGAGAGACGGATGCAAAGTTGTCTCAACAAAATTGCAATGAAAATAGTTTCCAGTTTTCCAAAGCCAAAACCATTTGTATGCACTTTTGCAACAAGTAATTACTATACTCTGATCCTTAACTAAAGTTAAATGATACTTTTGCCCCAATAGTCCAACCAACCAAATACTTGGAGCTTTGATAGGAAGTTGAACTTTAGACTCCATATTGATTACTTAAAGAAAAAAGGGCCAAAAAGGTCTTAAAAATCATATTAGATTGAAACTGGGGCAGCAGATCACAAAGTAAAGCTATACTGATAGAGAACTGTCATAAGATTGAAATTGGGTTACACTTGTACAATTTATAGTTCTGCAACCCATCCAGAACCAAAAATTAAGACTATACCAGAGCACCTTTTGCACCTGCCATAGGCAAAGTCTTTGTAGGGGCTAATAAATTTCCTCTACACCTGAGATAAGAAAAGAATTGAAGATAAACTAATATCAAAATAACTCTGAGATTTCAAAAAGAAAATCATAGACAACATAAAATCTGATAAGTAACCTGGAACATGTCCACAGAAAATAAACTATCTGGGCAGCATCTAATGGTCAGGTTAGTAAAAACAGAATTGCTTTAAAAAAAAATATTGTAATGAGCCTGCTTTAGTGTGAAATGATTTATAAGGATTGATATGCTGTTAAACAAAATCTTACCATTAACATTTACATAAATTCTACTTGTAATAATGTTTATGCACACACAATTTAAATCTCTATGGATGAACTCACACTCTTTGTATTGGCACATCCTTGACAAGGAAAACCATCAAAAAAAGGCATCTGACCAACATGAAACCTGTAGATTAAGAATGGACCATACAATGAATTGGCAGTAAAAACAATTACATTATTTTTAAAAAGAAAAAAAATCAAAATTGCTTTCATGAAAATACAGGAATCTCAAGTCATAATGAGAAATCCATCTATCTCTTGACCAAGATGTAATATGGTATGCAAGGAAAATTACTTTTCTCTAGAAGCGTCAAATTCAAATCAGGTTCAAACCAAATGGTGGAAGGACAAAGCCAAAAAATTTCAGAAATATCCCGATGCTCAAGATGTGCAAAATTTCTCTACAAAAACCAAAGAGTTGTGTCTGAACCAATTCACTCTTCAACAGGATATCACTGGAAAAGGAAAGAAATAAAAAGCTTACAATGCCGGCATTCTCACCAAAGGCCAGAACATCTTGAAGTGCTGGAAAGAATGTTTCAGTATATGCCTAAACAGGAATTCTACCACTGCTGAAGACCTTTCTTCAAAATATGACCCAACATCCTCCATAACCTGGCCATTTGTTTTATTTATATTCACTTTATTTTCCTATAGTGTTTAGTATTGTTAAAAAAATTTTATTAAAATATCTTTTGAAATTTTTTTTTCTTTTATAATTCTTGAAATTGATATGATTTGTGTATTTCTTATATGAAAGTTAATTTATAATTAAAACGAAAAACAAATGGTTATTCCCACCAACTTCTATTTCTTATCTTGCTTAGTTCCTTATTTTCACATGAAGAGAAATATTCATTGATTTTTATTTTTTCTCTCTCTCTCTCTTTGTCTTCTTAGGCCTTCAAGATGTCATCTTATACTCCATTGTCCCAACAACGGGATAATGCCAAAAGTGTCATCAGATTGCGCAACTGTATGCCAGAAAAGTTTTTTTCTTTTTGTCTCATGCATTTGTCAATCATTCTGGATTTGAATGACAATAGTCTAGAAGAGATTCTTACTGATACCAAACCACGCAGAGGCATGACGCCTTTATGGCGAAAGAAGGGTAAGTCATTGCATATAGTCACTCTTCATAAAAGACTTCTAAATGAAGCATTCACAATACTTTATATATTTTCTTGGGGTTCAGATGGAGTCAGTTTGAGATTGGGGGAGGGGGATGTTGTTTCTTCTTCCTTCATGTTGGTTGAAGAAGAGAAACTACAAACATCAATTTCCATTCAGCATTTGACACCCCTATTATTTTGTACTACCTTCACTCCCTTGGCATTTATGTCTAAATTAAATTTTGTATTTTCCATTTATTTTTTTTCTTTCCAGACAGCAAAAGTATTTTCTTTGGAAGCCAATTGACAGGCGAGAGCATTGCTTCCATATTCCGCTTAATTGAATATTTGAAACGACCTGAAAGTAAGTCCATCTCTCATAGATTTTAGATATTTTTCATTAAGTCATATGTTGGTAATAAAGTTGCCGATTATACAAATATATAAGCAATGGATGCATTTTGTTCACAAGTCTTTCTCATTTTCAATATATAGGTTGATGATAATTTCCAAAACTAAAAGCATTGTTTTTCTCTTGTTTTTTCTGTTTATTTCAGACATTGAAGTGGAAGGTTTATTTCGTAAGACTGGGAGTAATGCACGCCAAATGTTACTCAAGGAAATGCTCAATAAATCAAGTGACTTGAACCTTGATGAAGGCCAATTTTCACCTCATGATTGTGCTTCTGTTTTAAAAGGTTTTCTCAAAGAACTGCCAGAATGTTTAATGGTTGATAAATTTGCCAAGGCCCATTGCCAACTTTGTGGTAAGGCATTCTCAAAATTTTTATTCAATTAAGAATTTATTTGATTCATCCAATTCCCATTTACTATGAAGTTTCACAATAACTTTCCTAAGGTGAAAATTCTAACAGCTTCCCGAACATTGCATAAATGAAGACTCTACTGAAAGAAACCTGCAAACATGTTTTGTTTTTTGTTGACATTTGTCAAGGATGTGTTTTGTGTTGGTCTCTGTATTTTGTTTTAATTTTTGTCTTCCAATTTTAACAAAGTTTTGCCTTTATGCCTACAATAAAACGGTGTGTGTCAAAAGAACAGTTTTTTCCCTCGACATCCTTATTATCTTGTACTACCTTCACTCCGTTGACAATGTTTATTTTAAAAAAAAAACAATGATTAGAATTTTAATAAAATCCAAACATTAGAGTGAATTTATACATTTTCTTTGTTCTTTGAGAATTTACAACTTCTTGTTTATTCACAAGAATAATTTTATATTTTACAACATTCTAAAAATGCTAACCAACTAATACAATGTTTATCATTCACCAATTTATAAAGAAATAAATATGAAAACAATTTTTTTCTTCATAAATTTATAAACATTTAATAAATCATGAAAATATGTGAACCAACTATAACGATATCTTTATTATTTACCATTTTATAAAGTTCAAATTAATTTGCAATTTGCTGATGTTTTGCCAACCATTTCAAAGAATCCTATTTGCCACTTGCTTTAGTCAAGATGCTTAGTATTCCCTCTTTATTTAAGACTAGCAGTAGAGCCCGGTGTTGCCCGGGGATGTAAAAGCAAGAGATAGATCAAGTATCAACCATCATAAAGACTGAAAAATAAAATTGACAAAGATTATTGTTTAAGGTTGACAGACATGCATGTCTTAATTAGTTTTTTTTTTTTTTTTTTTTATTTAACAAATTGGTCAAACTCAAACAAAAACATTGTTTTCAATCATTATGAGTCTACTGATTGAATAGAATTTTATTATAAACAATTGTCTTGTAAATGGAATTTTTAAAGCATTCTGAATGTAAAAATAAAGAAAAAGGTGTGCAAGACAATAAGAAACACTACCTGCCAAAAAAAAGTGAAGTTTTGTTGAAATCGGTTGAAAAATGTAGGAAATCCGATCCCATATATAAACGAACATACACACACACAAACAACCTGGGTTTTATAAGTATAACTCGATATGAGTTGTCCCCCTTTCATTCTCGACAGCGATGCCTCTTAATCGTGTTTTCAAATTGATTTCAAGCAAAAACAATTGTTTTTCCAATTTTTGGCACTGTCAGAACCACCGCAAGGTAATTTTACGTAGTCCTGTGAAGTTTTGTTGAAATCGGTTGAAAAATGTAGGAAATCCGATCCAATATATAAACGTACACACACACACACACACACACACACACAACCTGGGTTTTATAATAAGTATGATTTCTTTATCAGTCTACTTGGATGACAATAATCTATAGGCAGATTTTTCTGAGCAATTTTAGAAAAATTAGCAACAATTTAAGAAAATTTTCAAAAAAATTTTTTTTTTTTTTTTTTTAGTTGGGTGTGGGGAGTAACCAATAATTGCTGGAGTTTGAAGCCTTGGATTTCAATTAGGGATCCTAGATCAAGATTACAAAAAAAATTTGAAAATTAAGATTAGAAGTAATCAGATACAAAATAATTTATAAAGAAAATGTCTGGCAAAATTGTTTTAAATTTTCTTATTCTAATAGTTTACTGACATCTTTATAAAATTATAAATAAAAAAGTAGTTTCATAGTTATTTATCTATAAAATGGTAAATAATAAACATTGTATTCCAGTTCATATATTTTGTAGATTTTTATAAATTTTTGAATAAAGGTTTCTTTTCAAATTTATTTCTTTACAAAAGAATAAATAATCAATCATGAATTATTAATGGTAAATATTGCATAGTACTTTGTTCAAGAAATTTTGACATCCCCCGCTTTCTTCTAACCTGGAGACCCACAAGCCTTTGAAGGAAAGATGGGGTGGAAGGAGAGCAATGTTTTATTTTTGTTTTTTGTTTTTGTTTTTTTTTTTTGTTTTTTTAAATTACCAAAAATCAGGGAATTATCCAATTTAAATGAAAATTTCAGTACATATTCATTATTTACTTTTATAATAAATAGGTTTTTTACTTTTAAAATATTGAAAAAAATGTTATTCTTTTTGTGATAACCACCAATATTTTCTACATTTCCATAAAGATTAATAGCTGACGCTTCTCTGCTTAAAAAAAACAGTTTTACAAAGATTCCAACACAACACAAATGAAATTGTCTTAAAAATTTGTTTTAAAAATGGTATTTCAGTTTTGGGGGAAATTTTTCATGTGTTGAAATCTTTAAACATTTTTTAAGCAATCAGTTTTCTCAGTTTTATCTTTCTAGAAATGTAAACAATAAGAACTAAAAATATCAGAGATCTTCCTTAGTGGATGATCTCGGAATAAAAAATGATTTTACCAAGATATATTAATAATATTAATAAATGCTACTGAAATTAACATTAAGCCTAATCTCCTCCTCTCCCCCAACTGATGATAATGATAACATTTGATCTCTTTTGCTTTTTATTCAGAGATGTCTAAGCAATCCAACATGGAAACAAATATGAAACTGAAAGGGAAAGTGTTAAAAGCTGTTCAACTTCTTATGCTTTTGCTTCCAGAAGAGAATACGTTATTGTTGGAATGTTTGTTGGAATTGCTTTCAAAAGTTGTTTCAGAAAATAAGAATCGAATGACATCCAATGCATTGGGTACCATATTTGCTCCTCATCTTTTGTGTCCCAAGAGAGTAAGAAACAATTTTTATTTTACACATGTCGACTATTTTCTTTTAATAACATGTCATTTTATGATGTAAGTGGTCATGACTCTCCACAGTTTTCTTTAGTAGCTGTAAATTGTAGTTTCTTCATTACCTTCTCCATGGTTTTTTAATTGTTGAATTGTCTTTCTAGACTAGTTACCTTACCAAGGCTGGAGATCCAAGTCTACCCTACTGTTAAGAAGAGATGGATTCATGCTTTTCTCAAGAGCCTAATCCAGAATTTGAACTCTTCTTGCCAAACCCATTTTCTGTGTTGATGACATGACACTACATACACTTTTCTATATAGAAACCAAATTTGTCATTGGTATTTAATATTTTAAAATGATCTATAAAAATCTTATTCTCTAGGTAATGCTTACGTTATTCCTGATGCAATGCATTTCTGAAGTAAAATAATGAAAATTAGACATATGATAGCTGTATACTCTGAGTAGTTTTGTGTAATTCCTGACCATCTGAAAATTCATTTGTCTTGTGCAATGCATTTACATCATGCATGTAATAGCACTATTCTGTAAGTAATGCTTGCATTAATTCCTGACCATTGACAATCCATTTCATTCTAAAACAATTTTGAAGATAAAAATTGTAAAATTTAACATGGTTCCATCCAAATTAGATCCCACCACTACCATTTTTTTAATTGTCTAAAAATAAAATATCTTAATTTCAATCTGATTTTGTTTTAAACATAAATCCATTTGGAATTTGAAAAGAAGCTACATTTTTCTCAGGCTGGGAATTTTTTTTTTTTATCAAATTCCTTTTTTCCTGAAACACTTGATATTTTTGTAGCAACTCTGTAGTTTAGAAAATAGATTTTTTCTATTTGTTCAAAACTTAAAAATATTTACAAATATAAAAAAAAAATATATAAGCTGTTTAATCCACTGTCTCCCCAAAATCTGTCTTGTCCATCCATCATTTAATTTGAATAAAATTGGTTGGTTGCAGCTCTCGGCTGCAGAGTTCCATGCCGCTTCTGAAAACTTTGCTGAATTAGCTGCCTTCATCATAGATAATGCTGATCAAGTTTTTCAGGTACCTCTCTTCTTTTTTTTTCTTTGTAATATCTCTCTTGCAAAAATATCAACAAAATATGTTTTTCAAAATTAACTGTATTATTTAAATTTTTTAAGTTATTTTGCTGTCTTTTATATATTAAAAAAAAAAAAACAGTGTGACCATAGAAACTAATACTGCTTGGTGGCTACGTTTCACAACTTATGCATGATATTGAGCACCCTCAGCCAAATAAAAATAGTATATTTAGGCAGCAATCCTTAAATTAAACCTGTTGTTGCCAAATAAGTTGTTTGCTTTCTAGTAGAAACTCAAAGGAATTTAGTGGAATAGCTTGACCTGACTATCATTGGTTGTTTCCAAGGAAAGAAACTAGGTAGTTGAGAGATAGCCACCAATGTAACATTTGTATTATTAACAATCTGAAGTTTGAAATGAGTGTCAGGGGTCACTTTATGCTATGATGAGAGTAATTTTTAGCATTGTGGGATTAAAATGATCTTACACTTTAAAGGCATTGAAACATATGCATACCAAGATTGAATTAAATTTTACTGATGGTCTGTTGCTTTTCTTGAACATAAAGAGCTTCCTAAATTTTTAATCTTCTTTTTCTGAGTTTCGATAGAGTAATATAATCTTGCCAACCACAATATGATGGAAATTGGGACTCTGTAAATTTGTTTCCTCAGAGAGGAGATGACAACATGTCAAGTGATCTTTATGAGAGAAATGTTTGTGATATCACAGTCTTCCAAAGAACAAAAGAATTTGACAGACAACATTAGTTTTCTGCAAAGTATTTTTTCTTTAAACTGCTATCTTACTTCTCTGATGGTTTTCTCCTTTTTATTATTTATTTCCATTCTATCTACACTTTCGATGAGAATGTCCACAACACTTAACATTCAAAACACTCGTTGTTTTTGCTGCCCCATGTGACTTGGGAGATGCAAGTCTCTGTAATGAATGACATCAAGAAGATCTTAAGAAACGTAAAAAAAAAAAAATGACAAAGAAATTTGTCTCTACCTATATACATGTTCTAAATATTACTTGAGGCATGAAAGTGACAGTTATTAGGCTGTTGATTTCTATGCGCATAGTCTGCATCTACAAATTCTGCCTTCATTATTAAGCAGTCTTCTCATAAATATAGCAAACTTTCAAATCAATCTAGATCTCTGTTATTGAATATTTTAACAATTAGTTGTCTGCTCCTTTTATGTTTAAAAATTTCTTTCTATGATTGCTTCATCTTTCAGATTCCTACAGAATTGGTGAGGGATATTGATCAATTCTGGAAAGACATGGAAAATCCCAACAAAACTCCATGTAATTTCTTTGATGTTTCTGTAACTAAAAATGGATTAAGTGCAAGGGTTTGTATAGAGATTTTTTTTAAATTGCTAAACAGTTTGATGAAAATCATGGATAGCTTGTCTTGTGGGGGGCAGCACTCTTGAAGCAATTTAAATTCTGACCTTTTTATCATGTGAAATTCATCATTATTGAAAGCCTCATTATTTCTATGTTAAACCAATATTGGAAAAAAAAATCTAGTTAATAAGAATGAAATGTCTTAAAATTGCAAATATAATAACATCGGGACTTTTTTTTTTATAGATCACTTTGTAACTTAAATCTATCACTTATTTTCACAATTTTAAACTAAAACTTTAAAAGATATCTTGACATAAAAGATATAAAACATATACATCAATTTATCTACATCATCAGATTTTATTATACAAAGCAATGTTTCATATTAAAATTGGTATTCACCAATTCATGTTGGTTAATTTTTTTAGAATATGTATATGATAAACATGCTATAGATGTTTTTATTACAAATAAGTTTTTTTTTTTTTTTTTTACATATATAAAGATTGGCATGCATCATAAAAACAAAAGCAAGAGAAACCCTATTCAAGCAAAGATTATGTTTAGGAAGCAATAAAACCACTGCAAGTAATATTAAAATGGAAACTATAGAAAAGTTAAGAAAATCAGTGGTGATAGATTGATAATGGTTATAGAATTACAGGCAGTTGCCATGCGAACCACTTTGCACAGATCAGTCAGCTTATGCTCTCTCTCAACAAACACAGAGCATGCCAAGCTGCACTCACAGTGAAACACATTTTAACTGAATGTACTCACTTAGCACCTGTAAGACATAAATACTACAAAGAAAACAACACAAAAAAACTATTTGAAAATACTGAAACCATTAATATAAAGTCCTACCTTAAAGAAATAGGTTTATACCAAAATATACAACACATACATCATCTACAAACTATATATCTATTAAACATATGTTTGGCCTGAAAGCATAAAATTGCATAGGAAATATTTTGATTTTTGGCATTAAATAATGGATAGTTCTTGATATGGCACTGAACCAAAACAAGTCCTCATCAGTTTCTTTTGTTTTTAATAGGGATAAATATAAGCTGAAATTTGCATAATATATTTACTCTAAGTATACACTGAAGCTTTACCCAACATGAGTTAGTTAAACCAGTTTTATTTTGAAAATGTTAACTTGCCTAATGAAATCTGAACAATGTATGCAAAGTGAATGTAATACAAAGGCAGGGATTCTTTGCATGGGATCAGGGGCGGTGGGGTACTGGAAAGTTAGGCTGTCTATATGTCCAAGGGCATTACTTTAAATTGGAAAGTTGGTGTAATTTCTCTTAATGAAAGGAACTCTTCTCCTCTCTCTGCTCCCACTGTCAAATTGCCCAAAGTTTTGGATAGTACATTGTTTGTTTAAAAATGTCTCTATTTACAACTTAACAAGGTAAGTGCAATTCTTCTTACTATTATGAGTTAAGGCTGATTCTCATATCTATGCTATGCTTTTCTTTTCTATTCCCCCCACCCCCACACATATTGCTTCAGCCTGCATAACTGTGCCATTGGAATAGCTGAAAAGTTGTTCAAGAAAAACAGCTTCAATTATCCACTTACTTTCATTTTTCTTTCTAATGTATATGAAATCAAAGTCAACATCATTCTCATTTCTAACAAGAAACACTGCTTGTTTTGGCAGAAATTGGTCTTTTTATCTCATTACTACATTTGTCATAAAATCACTGTTAAAATTTCTTTCTTTCCTCTAATCTCTATTTTCCTTGACTTTTTTTCTCTGGATATTTTGTTTGCTTTATGAAATTAGTATCATATCACACATTATTTGATTCAGAGGTCAAAAAGTGATGAAGCTGTGAACACTTGTGTGAATTTTACTGATCGGAGTCAAGGAGCTGAAGACCTGACTCAAGCAGAGATTGCAAAACTCTACGAACACATCCAAGCAATGCCGGATACTGCTAGAAAAAGGAAGCTCTTAAAGAAGGTACTGGGTAACAACTTTCCCCTTAGGCATGAAGACTCTGACAATAATCAATTAGCAGATTAGCTTTTATTGATTGTCCCCCTGTACTCCTGACCCTCATACCAGCAATTCTTTTCCTTTCTTTCCTCTAAACAATTTTAATTAACTTTTCCTCTTCTCCTACTTTGAAGCTTTTTCTTTTTTGTACCTAACTGTACATATTTTTTACTAAAATGTTTTTATTTTTTAATAAACTAACACAAGCAGTGGATATTGTTATGACCAAATGTTTGGTTGCAAAGGAAAGGAACAAAGATGAAAACTTCAACATGTATTGGCCAAAATTCAGAACATGTACATAGTTGTGTGACAGGTGGCAAAAAATTGTTCATACAAAGTTCCTTAGTTGGCATTGCTAAGGAAGACAATTAAGGTTGTTAGTAGGGCCAGGAGTTAGCATATTTCTTGGGTTAGTTGGTCATGGTCATAGTTGGTGTCAGGGGAGAGAGGCCTATGGTGAGGTGTTTGATGATCTGGCAGACAAGGCTGAAGTGTTGAAGCCAAACTGCCTTTCATTGGTGAGTAGTGGTGTTTTTTTGGGTTTTTTTTTTTTTTACATCCTTGATTCAAAAGGTGTAGACGCAGGCTCTCAGGAAAATCTTTTTTTTTTTTTTTTTTTTTTTTTTTTTTTTTTTGCTTTCTAAATCAGTTCCTCCCAAATCTTCCTTTATACAAAATAGGATGCCTTTTTTTGCACTTAAGTTTATCATCAGTTGTGTTAAGATGTTTTGCATTTTCTATTATGTAAATATGACCATAATGGAAATAAATACGGAAAAGATTTTGCTCATGTTATTTGACTTTAAAAAGAGATTAATATCATAGTTTTTGAATGAAAATTATTAGCATAAAATCTTCAACTAGGAATGCTAGAATTTATTTTTAGGTTGATGATTAATTTTTACAAATACTTGCTATTTTGTGAATTTTCTAGGAACTAGTTTCTTCATTGATTCTATTTAGTTGAGTTAATTAAATTTGAAAATTGAATTTTGGAGGTTTAAAAAATTTTATCAAACCACACTTAAAATGTGATAATGTCCAAATATGGCATCTGAAGATTTAATCCTGATAGTCTTGATGATATTGGCCAGTTTAGATTTTTTTTTTGTTGCTCTTGGTTTTGATAAATGATTTCCATGGTGAATTGTAAATCCAAAATCTTTTGGAAGTACATTCAGATTTTCTCATTCCAAAACAAAATTTTTATATATATATATATATATATATATATATATATGGAAAATTGATTTTACAAAAAAGGCCCTTATCTATACATATATAAAGGGCAGTTGTCTGTCTGTGTGTGTGGCTAATGCTAAAAAAAACTATAACAATGACAAAATAAATTTATATACAGACTCAGTATCACCCAACCTGACTTTTTGTAAAAAAAAAAAAAAATTATCATATGATTTGTATTTACAAAGATATTTTAAAATTAAAAATACGTAATTGCATTAGAATGCATCCAAAATTCTCAGAATTTAAAAAGTAAAAACAATAATAATTCTTATTCAGTTTGTTTTTACTTTTTAATTCTGCTGATAATGTATTTTTAAAACTTCTATTCTCTTGAATTTATTTCCATATCTATAGTAAATAAAAAGCATAACTTTAAAAAAAATGAATATTAAAACAACAAAGTAAATTTAAATGAAGAAATTTAATTTTATTATTTTTTCGCCCATCTTATAGAAAATAATTTTTTATACAATCTTAAAAAATAAACTTCTTTTTTTTGTAACTAATATAAAAAAAAATTAATAATTTTTATAACTTGAAATTTAAACATAATCAATTTACAAAACCAAATTCCCAATGTATCTCATTTCTACTCTCTTTCAAAATAATAATTAAATTCATTTATGGAGAAACGTTTGCTTTTTTCACTTTCTTTTAAAAGATGATAATCACTAAAACTTTATTTACTTAAAAAAAATCTAAATTCCCCTCTAAAATAAATAATTTTTTAAAGAAGTAAGGCTCAGTATAGTTATTTTTTTAAATGATTCAATGTTTAAATATATCTTAACTTGAGTTTATTTACTTTTTTATTACTAATAAGTTGAAAAAAGTTTAATGAACTTTTATCTAAGTTGGATTTGTTTGAAAACAGCATTAGCAGAGTATTTATATAAGTATTTAAATCAAAGAAATAATGTCTTTTTGAATAAATATATGATCAGCCCACTAAGCCCTCCAGCATGGTATTTGCCTAAATTTGTTTGTTTTGTAACAAACCAAAAAACAATGAAGTTTATTGTTTTAAAGATTGAAGAAGAAAAAAAAAATTCCATTGGTTGAAAAATATTAAATTGTCAATAAACTATTATTCAGAGACCTACTGAGCAATGCCGGATATCCCTGCTAGTTTATTATAAAACCTCTCCTTCTAAAATCTGATTTTTCTTCTTTCTTACATTGTCATTTTCTTGATTTTTTTTTTTTTTTTTTTTTTTTTATTTACCTTATTTTGATGGGGATGATAAATTGTGTGTGTGTGTGTGTATTGTACTTTTTGCCAAATAAGATGTATCAGATAGCAATGGTGTAATGATTGATCATGGTTAACTGACAATCACAACTATTGTCTTCATCAGAATTTGATAGAATTACTTTGCAAACATAACTAGACCCAAATAATATGAAGTTTGCAGTGTTAAAATGTCCATTGACTTACCCTTGCCTTGTCCGCACACACACACACATTTGTTCAGCTAAAATTCTCTTTAAAGCTTTGCTTTTTTTTTTTTTTTTTTTTTGCTGCTTTATTTGTTGTGTCTAAAGAATCAAAGTATTTCTATTTTTAGGCACATCTACTTGTACAATTATTTAATCTTGATTACGTTTATGAGGAAATCTTTAAATCCCACTATGAAAGGTTTAAGACAAAAGTAGTCATTGTTGGGCAAAGTAACATAGATTTTCTACAAAGAGGTTTTGATTGGTGATTTTATGTTATGTTTGGCATTGGATTCTGTTTAGTAAAAATAGAAAAGGAATAATTCATAAAGAAGCATTTGCTACAATTGTTTTTTTTTTTTTTTTTTTTTTGCTATGGCCAAGTAAAATGTTCCTTTCTTTTATTTATTTTTATATATATATATATATATATATATATATATAGCAAAACTGCTTTTTTATATATATAATCTAAAAAAAAAACATTCTTTACTTTTCCTTTTCTCTGCTGTTTCATCTTTGTATTTTCTGCTTGTCTTTTGATAACATTTTCTTTTCTCTCCATTTCATTGACCAGTAGGCTGCTGCCATTTTATCAAAATAATTTCCATTTATCTTTCTTTGCTGCTTCAGTTCTCCAAGACGAATCATATGAACTTTGACTCCTGCTCTCGATCAAGTAAGGAGAACAGTATCTACCAACGCTTCAGTCAATTCATCAGGTTCACTGGGCGGCAAACACGGAGTCGAAACTTGGGCCTTTTCAGTGATACAATCAAGGTAATGTTTTCTTCCCCAATAACTAGTTTCTTTTTGTATGGCTATTAATAAATGGACATAAAATGGCATTATGTGATTAGAAACCAATTTGTACTTATTTTTGAATCTATTTTCATTAACATTTGTAGCGGTGTGGGTTCTTTGTATAATTTTGCAAACCTTTTTGATTAATGTCTTGAAATCAAGAATGGAAGGTATGTTTAAAAACCAGTAATATGTAATTTTTCCCTAAATTCAGTCTAATCTTGAATTGTTGCATTTCTTTTTCCTTTTTTTTTTTTTTTTTTTTTTTTTTTTTTTTACACACACCCACACACACCTTCATCCTGTTTTCCTTTAAAGAATGTGAAACAGACGCTAGTTAATAATTGTTTTCCAAACTACGTCATTGATCACCATACTAGACTATTTCTTTCTCAGGTAACCAATAGCAACATTGATCATACAGAAAAAAGCAATAAAATTAACTTCTTTTTTTTTTCTTTTTTTTTTTTTTATAAAAGCTAAATACACATTAACTATATGAAGATGAATTTTTTCTTAGAAATATAAAGTCAGCCACAGTCAACCAGAATAAGAAAATAGAATTATCTACTATAAATAAATTTAAATCATTTAACCTTTTTGTCAACAACTCCTCACCTGCAAATCCTAAATTACAGAGAATAGATATTTATGAATTCACATGTCCCTTAAGGTATTGTGTTCTTGATTAAACCAAATTCTGGAATAATTATATTGAGTGTACCACGACATGCCTATCAAGGAGACTCGTGTTACACCTCTCTGACTATAAGACTCATTTAAATTCACACAGAAACCTACCAAACTCCATCTGCAACATATTTGTAGAAAAATGCAAAATAATGGAACTACTACTACTAATAATAATAATAATAAAAAGGTCAACACTCAATAACATCAACTATGAACACTGCCATAATGTGCTGACTGTGTTTGGAGAGAGAATAATCATTCCCATCACTCTAGAGACTTAAAAAAAAAAAAAAATCTGCACATTCAGTCATCTTCAATGAAGCACACACACACACGCGTGGCAAACAAGGAAAATTTAATTTTTTTTTAAATTTTTCCTTGTCTGCCATATTTAATGAAAAATGAAAAGAAAGGTTGCTGCCCAAATTGTCATGTTAATATTAGAACTATAATCATCAGTGAATCCCAATTGAAACAAATTCAAACTTGATTGTAACACTTTTTAAAGTCTTTTTTTTCTCTCTCTCTCTCTTTCTATATACTCTTTTATTTTAATAGATTCATTAAATTAAGTTTTAAAACCTTCAGAATCTGTATTTTCCCAGGCATTTACTATTGTTTTGTCTTTGGCATTTCACACTCACAATTGTGTAATGGTTTGGATTAGCACTTTGCAGATATTTTGAATGTGAAATATGCAGCTTACAAGCTTTATCCTAACTTTAAAAAAAAGCTAAACATTCTTGAAAGTATACAAAATGGCACAGCTCACAGCAAAGTCTCTGAAGATATGGGTATACCAGAATCTACATTCAGAGGTTGAATCAAAAATGAAGAAAAGCTGAAAAGTTTTTTAGATGAGCTAGACAAAGGAGGTTTGAAGAGGAAACTTATTTTTATTAATACATTACAATACAATGTATTGCAATGTTTTTATTCAAAATCTTAATAAATGTATAAAAAAATTTTTTTTTTTCTTGTTAAAATCTTGTACATACGAGATTTCCACCATCTTTTGCTGTCATCGATGATGGATCTCTTGACATGGTGCTTTATAATTGGAATCATTTTATGCCGTCGTCTTTCAAATTCATTTAATGTTTGGTGCAGATTTTTATATGAAATTAAAGGATAGTTTTAATAAATATTTTTCAAAACTGCCAATATTCAACTCTTAGATATGCATTTTGCATGCTTAGTCACTGTGTTATCCATTTTTGGATAATTCCATGGACTTGATTGTTTTTTTGGACTAAACTGGCAATCCTGACATCACAGCTCACTTTTTGATCTAAATCACTGATAGAAGTTTTGGACCCCAACTACCTACCTGTGTGTGTGTGTGTGTGTGTGTGTGTTATATATATATATATATATATATATATATATATATATAATTAGAGTTGGTCAGTTTGGCAATTTATTTCCCTTATCAGTTTCCTCTGTTTTTTTCTCTCTCTCTCACTTTCCTTGATACTGCAGTTTTCAATTCAGTTTTAATTTATTATTTTTGCTTTTCTAAGGACGCCATTCATTTTTTTGTGTAATGATAGCATTTCCAGTCGATATCTGATTTTGTTTGATGCTGATAAATTTGCAACTTAGTCTGTGCAAATTCTCGTGTATTTCTGGTTCGATCTTAAAAATATTCATATGGCTGAAAAGAAAATAAAGTAATTTTCTAAACATGTGATTTGTGTGTGCTTTTATTCATTGAATTATTTTTTACAGCAAGTTAAAACGGTATTTTGCTTTGAACAGCCAAAAATACAAAATATTTTTTTTTTTTTTTTTTTTTTTCAAGAATATTTTTTGATTTTACAAAACTATCTTTATCATATTCTTGAAATTTGAAATTGTACACTTAATAAGACACCTTAATCTACAACCAGGAAAACGTTCATTTCTTCTCTGACCTATGGAAGCAAATTCCTTCAAAAATTATAAAGTAAGCAAAAAAAAAAAAAATAAAATTTAACCTATAGTATGTGTGGTAAAAGAACTACTGTCTTGTGAAAAAGAAATGCCCCATATACTTTTTGACTTTTTTGAGTTTATTGGGTTTTTATATATTTTTGAGAGAGAAAATGGTATAGCTCTCCAGAAATTAGTTTATGATGTGGCTTTTAAAAAGCATATACACATTTTAAACCCGAGATTAAAACTTTTTGTAGGTGTATTCGCTAGATAGAAATCAATTTTATTTGTAGAAAGCAAACAATTTTAACACTAGAGACTTGCTTATCTGGAAATATACACATTTTAAAAGTGAAATTAATGTAACACTTTTGCCCCAGCCCCTCAATCTCCAACGTCTTACTATCTGGGTTGAGGTGTCTACTCGGTCCTAACCGAACTTAAGGAAGTGGCCGTAGGTCCCCTGACCATCCGTAGATTATTCGACCAGTCCACTGGCTTAATCCTGCTTCCTGCCCATGTTGTATTTGGTTTGATCCAGAAAGCAGAAGTGATGTTCATCCATTCATAGTCAACTCAAGATGTAGACACAGCTGAAGAGTCTGCGCTAAGAAATTTAGAATGCAGCAAAAAAAAAAAAGTTAATATCTGCAGAAAGCCAGACAAACAACTATTCAATGATTGAATTGTTAATTTCTTTTATATAGCAGAAAAGAATAGTATAGAAAAGAAACGGGTTATAGAAAAGAAAAGTAATTGATGTAAAAACGCATACACTGGATTCTGGACAGTGTGTGTTATGATTAACTTGTTGTTAAATCGTCTCAGACCAGTATACAACTCTTGCGATGGGGGAATAAGATTTCTGTGCTCGGCTTAGTTTATAGTGGCGTTCCTCCCTAGCAACAGTAACAGCAACAACCGTGGCAACAGAAGCAGCAGCACCCACATCAACAGCACATGTTAGTGGGCACTTTGTTCCAATCTCTGACATCACATTCTCTCCTTGAGTCTCGAGCCCAAGTCTTGCCTGGGCTAATTCTCTTCTCTCTCTTCCGTCTGCCATAGTAACAGTAGTAGTAATATTCGTGGTAGCAGAAGCAGCAGTACTTATATCAGCAGCACATGTTAGCAGACGCTTCATTCCAGTCTTTGACGTCGCATTCTCTCCTTGAGTCTGTAACTTGACTCTCCACTGTCTCTAGCCCAACTCTTGCCCGGGCTAATTCTCTTCCATCTGCCTCTTTTTCAGCATACCTATGCGTTTATATTGAAAAATCCGGTTGGTTACAACTGAACCTTGGCCCTACTACTTCACACGTGATTATCATGTGGTTTTGGCTGTTTCAACCAAAATTGTGAATTCTAAAGTTCCTTCTAGCTTACTCAGCTCTAGTTCAATTTTTAATCGATAAAAATTATTTCGACCATTTCTGTTGTCATCTGATGATCCAGATTCAATGGATACAACTTCTGCCCTAGATCTAATTTCGGTATTCAAATCTTCTCCAATTTCACTAAAAAAAAAAATATACGTGTGTGTGTGTGTTTCCCAAACTCTCTCTGTCACATTAAGAACTATTTTAATGATTCTTAATATTTAATTTAGGTGCATTCCCTAGATAAAAAATAAATTAGATTTATTTATATAAAAAAAAATATCTTGTTTACAACTTTATTTCATGTTTGGCATACTGCCTTGAAAACCCTTACAAAAAAATCTGACTTCATAAAATTTAACATTAACACAAAACTGGCAACTATTTTTTTACTCATTATTTTGTTAACTTCATGTTACTACATAATTTTTCTTTTTTCTTTTTTTTTTTTTTTTTTTTACTGAAACAAATAGATTTCAGATTCAGACATCATGTTGTTTTTTTTTTTTTTCCTCATAGTTTTCACATTTATTTCCTAAAACTAGTCAATTAAATGTTTTTAACACATTCTTGTTCGATCTTTTTCTCTTACAATGGTATATAAAATTAAATGTTATTAACATCTGAAAGTCTTTTTCAATAGTGTTTCTTTGAATATGGTCACTTAGTAGTGATAGCACTAAATGAAACCAAATGTAAAAAATTTTGATGCAGTTTCATAGTGTGAATATGAAACCAAAGAAATTTGGTTTTTCGGTTAAACCACCCATTATTATTAAAATACACCTTTAAGTGCTGAATCTAGATGCATCGTCAGTGTTGTTGCTCCCATATCACTAGAAGTTTCGGGTCTAAATAAACAACAGACTTCTTCGATGGGCGACCCGACCAAATATGATCAGTATTCGGCCCGCACCTAGAACAAAAATTTGCCACTAGCTTTAGGACGTGAATTATGAGTTGCCCCAGTAGACAACAACCAATCAAGACTTCACTTGGGCTATTCGAAGTTATAGATTAGGTATGCATGGTTGTATTGATCTTCCTACATGCAGCCAAGAATGGGTGTTTTTTTTTTTTTTTTTTTGGAAGAATAGAAAAAACAAACCAATGAATATACACACATACATACATACATACACACACACACATATATATATATATATATATATATATATATACAAACACACACACACATATATATATATATATACACAAAAAAAACAAACGATTTATTATATTGGCTCGCTTTATGACTTGTTCTTTCTCTACCTCCCTTTTAACTAACTTATTTGTTTGGTCTTTCTTTTCTTTTTACTTTTTTATTCTTATTTTCTTTTCTTTTCTAAACTACACTTAATAAAACGTTTACAATAGAGTGATTAAAATGACAGACTATTTACAACTTTAAAAACTAAGAGAAAAACATTTAACTAAAATCGCTTAAAAATAAATTAATCAAGCTATTTACATGTTAACTTCTAGTTAAAAAAAAAAAAAAAAAACACATGTAAATTTTAAATAAGTTAACCCCCCTCCAAAAAAAAATTATCCTTACCGGAAAGAATTCGTTTAAAAAACTAAGAGAAATAACTAAAATTTCTCAAAATAAATGATCGAGATATTTACATGTTGCAAAAATAGTTGAAAGAAAAAAAATAGCATGTAAATTTAGCTAAAATAAGTTACTCCTAAAAAAAAAAAAAAATTATCCATGAAGGAAACCGAAAAAAAAATTAAAATTCCGTTTAAAGAAAAGGAAAGATTACTTGTAAAAATGTTTTTGTAATAAAATAAATCTACTCGGAAGACCAGTAAGAAGTCATTGCATATGAGACTGAATGCAAATCAAAAGATTGATTCTCGCAAGTTTCTCATCATCTATATACACAAATTTCACACACACACACACACACACACACATATATATATATATATATATATATATATATACACACACACACTAATCAGCCTTGAAAGTATTTAGTGATGTCATTTATGGCGTATGTACATCTCTAATATATAAAATTAATATTAATGTGCATGTTTTTATTTGTGTAGCAATTATTCATTTATGCACATTTAACTAAAAAACCAACTAAAGTTTCTTGATTATTTTTTTGTTTTTGTTCATTTTCAGAAAAATGATTATAATTATCTTCAAATGTAAATTAATCAACAAGGAAATATTGTTGGTTTTTGATCAAATGTGCATTTTATGTATGTATGTGCATGTGTGCATGCAATTCATTCTATCTCAAATCAGACAATAGCCACAGGTGGTGACCCTCCCTAAAAAATCTGGGGAAATTTTTTGTTCCCTGATCAAATTTTTTGATAAATCCCAAACATTAGATCTGTATCTTTTTAACTTTTTAAAATCTGAGTATCTTGAAAGTTCACTACATTTATTTCCTTTTACTAAGTAAGGCATTCAACAAACTTCTAGCCTTCTTAACTCAAAGAATATTGCTTGTACAGATTTGAAACCAGACCCACATGCAACTGCAGAGCAAAGCATGAATGTTCCTTAAACAGCAATTGCTCGCAAAACAATATAGCAAGCTACTATAAAATCCTATACATAGGAGCAACTGAAGGACCCTAGAAACAAACTATACATGTAAAATATCCTTTATCAATAGTAAATGTATGAATAGCACAATCCTTTGTAAACATATGAGAAATTTAAAAAAAAAAAAAAATTTACACCCAAATATATGGAAAATAAAGAGAGCATAAGCCTGCAATAATAAATCCAAAAACTGTAAACTCCGTCTTAAGGAGAACATAGCTATAATTATCTTCATAGACCAACACAAATTACTAAATAAACAATTAGAACTCTTCTCAAAATGCAGACAAAAACAATTTTTACTACATAAAACTCAAAAGCTAAAAACGAATACCTTGTAAAACATCAAGAAAAATATAACACAGATAAAGTATCTTTCTTTAGATAAAGCAAATATTTAAACTAAACAAGATAGCCAACTCTTATCTTTTCTGATATGAACTTTGCATTTGAATAGTCTTCATAGATTTTTACCTCTTCAAATATAAAGAATTGTTTTTATGAATAACTGCTTTAAATTTTTCTAGGCTTTTTAAAATGATGCATTCTTTTCATTTTTCTTTCCAGAGGCATTTTCCTCTCTTAAAACAGAACAAACAAGTTGATCAACTCTCTTATGGTTTGCCCTCTGCAAGCAGACAGGTAGTGTAGTTACTAAACATTTTCCATTTCATGATCTTTTATTTGGTCTCAGTAAAATGTGCACAGTGATTTTCAATTGGTTTTAATTTTACACATTTGTCAGTTGTCTTCAAAAAAAAAAGTGGTTAAGATGTTCAACTTTACAGGTTAAATTTCTTTCATGAGTGACAAATGTACAATTTGTGTTTTGTGTCATCCACTGACATTCAGAATGTTTGTTATTATCAATCTTAGCAAAAGGCTCCATGAGGAAATCTCTGATTTTATAGATTTACATTTTTTAAAAATTTAAAAAAAAAAAAAAAAAAATGCCAACTCCCCACCCTAAAAATCATTATAAATGCTGAAAATAGAAAAATTAACATAAAATTAACATATTGTTTCAACTTTCAAAGTTGGGCTTGATACATTTTTACCAACTCCATGAAAAATTGCTTCTGATTTTCTTATAACAAATTTAGCCATATTAATTTATTCAGTTAATATCAAAATGAAAATAAGAGTTCGAAATGATATTTCAGAAATGTTAGAGATGGAATTGCAAGTTATTTTATTTCTGTTTTCTTGGAGGTGTGCATGGCCTAACAATTAACATGATGGTAAATTGATTTGGCAAAGCAAGTTCCAACTTGACTGGGAGAGTTTTGTGCTCATTTTGGGGAAAGACCTGAATCCTTTTCTCCATGGAGTATATTGTATAGCAGCTAAGACTCTTTAGCTTTGTCTGTTTTGGGCCTCAAGCTAGCACCCACCCACCCCACTTCCAGCTTAAAAGAATTCAGTTGCTGCTGCCCCAGCAACAGCAGTATCATCAATTACTATGATTTTAACTCTATACTCCACAAAGGCTCTGCAATGATGTACAAGAACAATTTTCTGATTATTTAGTGAATGATTAATCTGCTGTTTTCAATAAATAATGGATTTTATTTATCTTTATAATCAAAGAAGTAATTTCTTTCTTTTCAGCTGACAATGTATGGGAAGATTTTGATAATTTTATGAAAAACGTTTTTTTCCTTAGACACAACTGACAAGTACATTGAAGAAAACTGTAGAATCATCTGTGCAAACAATTGAAGAAAGCTTTGTGGCTGACACACCAAAGTCAGTACTGCATAAAAAATTGGATTTTGATGCCATTCCCCAAAATGATGTAAGCTTTGTTTTTGATTCACTTATATATTTTTAGACAAGAGAAATGAAGTTAAAATATCAGAGATAGAATCTTTTAAACTTGAATCTGAAATCTGTTCTCCTTTTTTGTTATTGAATGGAAGGAAATGAGCAACATTTTTAATGTATTTTTATTTTAAGAAAGGTAAAAATGCAGCTCACAAAAGGATTTGTATAGTTTATAGAGAACCTGTTGTGAATGATTGAACAAAAGAGGTTGATAAAGTTACATTTTGTTGGAGATTCTTGCTGGACAATGCTCCATGGTTGGGTAGAACTGTTGAGTTTGTCAGCATATTTTACCTTTTAAAGAAGTAATAATACTACCCAACTGCAAAAAAAAAAATATTCATTTACTTTATGAAGAGCAATACTTTAAATGATCAAATATAGTTTTCAAAGTTCTGTGCTAGAGATTTCTTACTGAACAATGGTCTATGGTTAGGTAGACCTATTGAGGGTGTGAGATAGCAATCAAATAGACATAACTTGAGAATAATGTTACATGACAATATGGGAGATAGCCAACCTATTCAAAATATTAAAATCAAACATTGAAAATTGTTTCAGTTTGTTTATGTTAGTCACTTTAATGCGAAAGACTTACTGGACCATGTTGCCAGGATGTGGATTCACTATTTAAATATAACAAAAGTATATAGTTGGTTGATTGTCTTCATTTTTTATGGATAATACAAAATGGATATTTGCAACAATGTGAATCACAATAGATTATAAAGCAAATGGAGCAAATTGCCACTAACTTTAATAACAAAGGCAAATTGTCCGGTGGGGATGATTAGAAGGTAAATACCTGCTTGCTAATAGTCTTCCTGGAAAGAGTGTTGTTCACCTGCTTAATGTTTAGCACAATTGAAACCATTCAAGAAAATGAAATGATTGATTCAAACCCATCAACGGCAATATTTCTTTCATTCTTTGCTAACCACATAGAAACTGTTACAGTCACCTACTATATTCATCAGATATATAAGCATTGGATTTTACCTTTCTAGCTTTTACAGAGTTCTCTATGAAAATATCAAAGGACACAAATAGCAGTTCTTTGCTGTGAAAGACGGGGGGGTGGGAACAGGATTATATAGTTACCTCAAAAATGACAGAAAATCATAGAAACAAAACAATATTTTTATTGTTCAATAAAATTAAGTTGAAAATAAAAAAAATTTCTATTACTTTAAGTTATTAAACCAAAGAAACTTTTTTACCAAACAAATATTTAAAATATGTAAGATTTTGTTTCACTCCACTTTCTTAAAAAAAAAAAAAAAAAAAATTGAATAACCTCTGACCTTAACTATTTTTATAGTTGCCCAAATTAATGATTGTGTACTTCTGTCCTTCCATAGAAAAACACCAAATAGTAGCATTTCCTCTCCTTGATGTGTTTGTGTTGAACTTTAACCTTAGCAAATCTTGTTCATTAGAAAATGACTATTTTTTTCTCCTTTTTTAACTCAAAAGTCAGAATAAAGCAAGTTTACCAACTATTTGAGGTGAAAAAAAAATTAATATTTTTGAAGTTCAGTTTTAAGAAATGAATTCCACATGATTGCAATTTCAACTTTGTTCATGTTTTTTGTTTGTATAGAAAACTCCAGTCAACACAAAGCCACCTCATTCTCTCTCTGATGGAATGCTGAGTCCTTTGGTTCATGTAATAGAACTTAACCATTCTCCAAAATCGGTGCGAAGGACCAGAAAACGGCGCAGTTCAGAAACTGCTGAGGCCATAATTATGAGCAGTGATGCTGAAAAGACCCCTGTATTTCACCCACCTTCTATTGAAAATGAGATTAACTACCTACCTAATTTGATTAACAAAAAGATAAAGGTCATACCTGTCACACCTGTCACTCACTCAGATGAACTCCCCTTCTTCACACCAGTTACGTCATTCCGGAGAAATCCATATCGGGTCAGTATTAATCTTTTATGTATCCTCTTTCTAATATTTTGTTTCATTTTGGTTTGTAACTTGACATGAGTTGATATTACAATTAATAAAAATTCTTCAATATTGGGGAGTCAGTAAATCATGGCAATACCCCTCCCTTTTCTCTCTCTCTCTCTCACTTAGCTAAGATTTCTAAAAAAACATTTCTATAATCAATTCTTAATTGAATTTCTCTTTTAAAAGACAATTACAAATTGATTTCCTTTTTGAAAAAAAAAGAGAAATATTTTATAAAAAAAGTTTTCCTGTTGTCCAAAGAACAGGAACAGTGAATCCAGCAAGATGGAATCATTAAGCCTGCTGCACAATTACTAAATTGCAATCCTGAATCTCTGAATAGAATTCCTAAAGGGAAATCAACCATTTACAAGACTCCCCACTGCATCTCTTGTACGACTTACAGTTGCATTTAACTTGTGTGGTTTGTCGCTGCATCTTTGGCAAGCAAGACAAGCTGTCACAGCACATTTCTTTTTGGTAGACAGTATCAAAAATATTCTTTTAATTGGAGATTGTTGGTAAGCTCTGGCATCGTCCATAACATACTTCTCTCTCTTTTCACACACACACACACACACACACACAATAGCCTCTCCTTTCTCTTGAAGGAAGGTATTTAAGATGTTACATTTAAAATTTTTATTTGAAATGATTTATTTTATTATTAAGACTTTAGTACCATCACTTTATTATTTGATTATTTAATTTTGGAAGAAGAGTCTTAAACTTGGAAGAATTTGGATTAAATAATACAATTTTAAGATGTGTGCTTTGAGAGAAGCTTGTATAGAAAAGTTTAGTGACCATTTCTTTTCCTGAAGTGATGCTAATGAATACTTAAAAAAAAGTGTGTGTGTATATATATATATATATATATATATATATATATATATATATATAATATGTATGTTTGATTTATGTCTTAGAAAGGTTCCTTTTGCAATATTCCCATACCATTTATGATTGGAGTTTGTCAAAGCAGCAATATGCTCAGTTCCTCTTGAGATTTTCAACTTTTCACATTACATTATGATAGGGAGTGTCAGGATGAATTCCTGAAACCTATGAGTCATGATAAGAAACACTAAACAATTTTTGTTACCAGTTCCCTTTGCAAATGAGTGTCCCCACTTTAAACACTATCTTCTGTCAGATTCTGCTTCAATGGACATATGGTCCTTTTTTTTGTTTTGATTCTGGCCAACCCCACAATAAATTATGTAATATTGAAAATATATTTGTCTCTTTGCTTTCAACATCCAAAATTTGTATTGTTCTACAATTTTTTACAATTTCTAAAGACAGAAGTTTATATCAATTGTCATACAAAAGATGCCTCCTCATTTAATTTTTTTTTTTTTTTTTTTCTAAAAATAAATGATTTCTTAGTTGTCAAAGTTAAAATACAAACAATTATGTTAGGGAATTGCTAAGCATCTTGGTTATATTCACAATGTTTCAGCTGTTGTATACTTCTTCAGGTGTCTGGCATCATATATAGTAACCTTCTCAGAATTTTGTGGGCAAATTGTTCTCATTACACTTTCTATATCAATTGAAACTTACCAGTTTTATTCATTTTTATTTTGATTGTCTATTTCTTCTGCTGGACTAGAGAATGTAACTTTTCAGCACTACCAAACTGAGCAATTAAATTCAGAACTTTTGTTATAATCAATATTTTAATCTACTACACCATATGTGTCATTTTGAAACCTCAGACCTAATGCCTGTACTTAGGTTGTGGATTTTTTGAATGCCCTTTCTTTCATAATCAAAGGCTTTCAGATGGTGTTCATCTCTATGCTCGGTCTACTGAGGAGGTCGTGAAAGATTTCAATGTGCATTGATTCTTTCAATTATCTTCTCCTCAGTGTTATTCTCTGTCTCTTAGCTTGACTTCAATCCACAGGGATTTATAACTACTCTTTCTCTCTGTACACTATCAGCCATACCAGATTTCTCCATCTTTCTACAGAATTTTCAATGTTCCTCCACCCTTACTGATCTCTCTTTTGTATTCCATGCCACAAGAACAAAAAGGATCTGACACTTTTCCTCTTGGTTTTCAGAGTTGCATCTCTAATGAGGTAAATCAATGTTCTTTTAAAATTCCAGCTTTGCCTATCATCACCATTGCATTGCTCTTGCCTGCTATGACAATTCCAGTTTCACTCTGCAGAGTTTTGATAGCATTTTTTCTTGAGAGATTTCACTTTCTCCAGTGTCTGTCTCCTTTCCATTTCAACTTGTCAGCCTAAGTTTTGGCAATCTTCAAAGCTGACTCCAAGATTTAAATGTGCCTTACAGTGTAAACTGTTCAAAGGAGAAGAATGGCAGCTTTGCAGGTCACATATTTAAAATAGATCTTGGGGTAAGATTCTCTCTCATAAGATTATCTTTGCACATATGCAAATTTTTGGCCATCAATGATACATAAAAACGGGAAGAATGAGGCCACAAGGGAAATGAAGAAAAAAGGATTGTTGACTGCTGTGTTGAACCGGCTACACATATCATGGACATGGAGAGAGAAGAAACTGATTGTAGGTTTTGATTGCGAGGAAATGTTTAAAGCTTTGTGTATATTGCTACAGACATCTAAGTATGTGATCCAGTTGATTAGTTGTTTCAAATTTGACATTTTTGTTCAGCACTATTTAGTTAGTTACTTAACTGGCACTTGTTGATGTTAATTGATAACATTGCTTTCACGGGATGTTGGACAATTATTTTCACTCGTATCATGATCTTTCAACTTCAGTAGTTTCTGTATTTGGTTGACTTTGACACAAATTCTTATATGGAAAGAAAAGGGTGCTAATCAATCTCCTGTGGAATGATGGTGGGGTGGGGGTAATAGAAGAAAATAGGAGGATAAGATGACTGAAAGAATTGGTGTACATGTTAGGGTTTAGCATTAAGATGAATAGCATGAGAACTTTTGATTAAGAGAAGAAGGACACTCAAAAGAGGAAAAAAAAGACCTCACCAGCTGAGTTAGGTTTAAGACTGCAGAATTACATGCCTTGATTATTGAAATGTAAGTTAAAACATATCTGCTTTAGTTCAATATCTGGGTCAGGTAGTTCTATGAAAAAGTCCAAGCAATGTGAATTAGATCAGAGGAGTATTTAACTGATAAGAAGTTATCTCCTCCTAAGCAAGCAAAGCAGCACGAGAAGAATCTACCTCCGTGGAATTGAATTAAGGCTTCTGTTCAAAATTCTGATACAGTTATCAAGTGCAGTGACAACAAACATCTGAAGAAAGCCAGAAAATGTGATGGTTAAAATATATTCTCTAACAAGGTGAGAATGTTGATTGGAATAACAAGACCTATAATAATGGCTCTTCTATCTTTGATAAATAAATTGTTGCTTTTTTTTTTTTTTTTCAGACTATTCATCACTCAAGGCGTCAGCCATTTCCACAGTGCAACACTCCTGATACAGAAAGTCTTGTATGAAACAGTGACTGTTATTTTTCTTTTTAAATCCTTCTGTCTTCCTTCATTTACAGATTCAGGTATAAAATTAACCTTCCAAAAGTGTCTACAATGTTCATCGTCTCACTTTAAAGCTTTTGTTATTTTCTCCCAAATTTTATCATGACAACCCCCACCCCACATACACACCTCTCAGTCTGGCATTTCTTCGTGCTGCTTACTCAATATCATTTTTTTTCTCATGACATTTCATTTTGACTCCCCAAATACTGTTTTAGCTTTTAAGAGCGTGACCCTGTGTGTGTGCGCATGCAGTATGTATTTCTTGCTAGTCAAAATCTTAATTCAACAAATATTTTTAAAAAAAATAAAAATAAAAAATAATGAATAAAATTATGTAAATTATATAACATTTTGGTACTCAACTGAGTAAATTTTGGGCTTTCAGTTGAGACAAAATAGCTGATCTTTCGGCATTCTTCATTTTCAGAAATTTTATCTTCAAATCATTTCCCTCCCCTTCTCACCTTTTATAATTTTTCTTCCTCCACTCCCCCACCCCACCGATGCATCAAGAGAGAAGAAAAATGTGCTTTTATTTGTTGAATGCTTTCTCCTGTCAAGATCAACCTTTATTAAATTCTAACATGAAAATCAAAATTTTGGCTTTGAGCCACAAATGTAAACTGTAAATTTGATCTTCTGCCAACAGAAAAATTTGGAAATTGTTTTTCTCTCTCGTATATCATCATCATTATTATTATTAAAAGTACATGTGTGTATATATATATATATATATATATATAAAACTGCTTTTTGCTGTTGTAGAAGAAATTTTCAACTTTGAAGACTTGGTTTCTCTTTTTCTTCGTTTTATTGCTCTTAACCTGAGACCATTGTTTGCATGCAATCAAATTGACACTTGTGCTTGATTTACCTTTTGAAGAACAATATTGTTTACAGGAAGATTTTTGTTGATTTTTTTTTTTTTTTTTAGCAAGTACATTCCTTAGTCACAAAAAAAAAAAAAAAAAAAAAATTGCTTATAAGGTTAAAATTTCCAAACTGCAGCTTTTGATTTCAAGGAGGAAATCAAAAACATAAAGTGCAATTGACATGACATTTTCTTTTCAAAAGAAAAAAAATAGCCAATGTTTTTTATAGTGTTGTTTTACTGATGAAAGTCCCAAAATGATTTTTAGTTAAAAAAAAAAAAAATATTCAAGTTAAAACATTTTTAATGTTTTATTTTGTTTACATTGACTAAAGAATAAATGTTGCAATTAAGATTGACTGAGCAGGGCTGCTACATATTATTACACACACATTCCTGTTTCTATTAGGTCATTCTCTTTCATGGTCATTTCTACTGGCTTCAAAATCTTTAAAAACAACTGTAAATTTACCACTTGGAAAAGTGTGTGTGTATATATATATATATATATATATATATATATATATATATATATATATATATATATATCTGTTCAAACTCTGGGAACAAATTACAATTATTGGAATATTTTAAATTAATTATTGCTTTTTTCAAATTTGACAGTATTAATATATTGAATGCTCTTAGAAAATTCAAAGGATCACATTTATAAAATTGAACTTATTTCCAAGACAAATACAAAAACAAATTTTTTCGGTACAAAAGAACATTGACCCTTCTTCGAAGACGCATTATTTTATATCCATTTTGCTTTATTCATGCTAAACTCAGAATTCTAACACTCATCCTTCTCCCTTGAGTAATGAAAAACAGAAATTTAAAAAAAAATATCTTTGTACATTTAGCAGCTATAAATATATTTAACCAAAATCTTCCGTAATTAAGGAAAATCAGTTTCCTTTTTCTTTTCTTTTTTTTAATTCTCTTCATTTTATATAACATCCAAAAAACAAACTAACTTCTGCTGTTAGATTTGAAATTTCCTTTTCAAAACATGAAGTAAAAAAAAATAATTTCCAAATGGAAAAGGTTCAAAAGATTGATGTCTCTTGATTTTATTTAAATGATGTGAAGTTTTCAGTTTTGGAAATTTTGTTGACAAATTATCATTTTTCCAAAATTGCCATCTTTGAAAAATTTCAATTTCCTTGTAAATATCACTTGTTGCTTTTCTAAACTTCACTTTGACAAAGGCTGTGAAAAAAGAATTTTAATTCCAATTAACAGGTTTTCTCATCGATGTATGTACAGAAAAGACATGTCTCCATTATGTATATGCACGCTGTTCTCACCTGATCTATTTTTATTATTCTCAGTGTGTCCATACAATCTGCTATGAAATGACAGTCTGTATCAAACTGGCAATTTGTCTCTGCTCTGATTCTATCATCAATTTGTATTGTACATTGAAATATTCTTTGCTAATAAATCTTTCTGCTTATTTAAGCCTATTTCTTGTTTGTACTTTTTTTTCTTTTTAACCCTTTGGGACAACAGAAGATGAAGTGAAAGTAAAAAGATTGTTTCTGTGTTTGAACATCAACCTCCACTATTTCCAGTGGAAAGCTCATATCAGCCGCTATGCTGGTTCTTCCCATTAGAAAACTTAACCCTTTATCATCCCTTAAGATTTCAGTTTTTAAATCCTTGCATCCTAACTGAATTATTGAAACATCCGAATATTTATAATGTTGTTACAATTGATATATCACAAAAAATTGTTGAAAATCAAATTTTACAATTTGATTTTATATGAAAATAAATTATTTCTCTTTCAAATGGTAGCAAAATTAGCCTCAAGGTGATAATGTTTTTGTCTTTCATGATTTCATAACCCTTCTGAAATTGAATAATAAAGCAACAAAATTTATTAGTGCATGAGGAAAAGAATTTTATTGACAAAAGTCAGTTCGAAGCTTCCTTATTTGTCTTTTTTATGCTGACATAATAAACTTGTCAGTTGTGTAGTTCATATAAAAAAAAAAGTCCTTGCTTGTTAACCATCACATTCAGCAATTAAATCAGCGTCACGTGGAGATTGCCACCACCTTTTAGAAGAAAAAAAAATCTTTGATCCCATTTATTTAAGCTGTGTATGACAAAACCAAACTTAGCAAAAATGAAAAGGAATGCAGGATGATTGGCATGACACAATCTTCCCTTTTAATGGTCTACCTTTGTTCTATGAAGCATGCAACTGATAAAGTCCAAATATACAACCTGTGGTGTGGCACACACTTCAACTGAATTAACCATCATTCTGAAGATGATTTCTTAAATTTTATATACTCAATATAATTTAAATTATATATATATATATATATATATATATATAAAATATATTTTTAAATTTTATATACTCAATATTTTGTACGTTTTTCTTAATGTGATAGATTTGGTAGGAAGTAAAGGATGTATGTCATTTGGTAACTTTATGATTAAAGGAAGGGAACACACTATGTGGCCAACTTTGCACATGCATGCTGATGTGGATTTGAATAATGAACAATTATAAACATGATACCTTTTCAATGTTTTAGCTGATTACAATCTGACAATTATGATTTTTCTAAAATAAATGGAACCAAGGAAATGTATCTTGATCAAACATCTGCCATCATGTGTTCTACCAAGTCAGATGTTTATTCAATGAAATTGATCTATCATTTGTAGATAGCTTATTGTTAAATAGCCACACATAATACCAATTTGCTCATGTGATTGATTTTCATCTAAAGTATTTGTGCATTTATCAGTCATTTTGAGAATAATTTATATGCTTAATAGTAACATAAAGCAAAAGGTCCTTATTATCTCGCATTTTCATAAAATAAAATTACTCTTTCCATACTAAAGTTTTAATTTTTCTTATTTTGTATATATACTTTTGTTAATCCTTGGAATTCTACCTCTTTCAAAAGGTCTGTTACTATGCCATCTTTAGGTTTGTTTTACATTTTGAAGAACAAAACTTATTTGATTTTATCTCAGAAATAATGTTACTATGTGTAGGATTGACTTGGTGTTTTTTTTTTTTTTTTTTTTTTTTTTTCAAAGCATGTGATTTTCTGAACATCTCGATCCCTACGTATAAATTCCCTTTCTTTTTTGTTTTACAATGCAAGCACTTGCAGTTTATGTATATTGCAGATTTAACATTTCAATCTCTTCCCTTTCCTAATAGTTTCTTTTTCATCTTTCTTTTTTTCTGGTTTGTTTTTTTATTAGATTCTCTCGTATTTATAACTATTTTTTTCTTCACTCATGATTTTAGGTGTTAACTTATTCTCCGTTCGTATTTCAATTTGTTGTCCCTCTCCTCTCTTTTACTTCCTTAATTACATCTACAAATTTGCTATTCATATGTTGTTATCCTGACATTCAGTGATGTTCTCCCTGACTTTATTAGAATGTGTTTTCCTTTTAAAAAGGTTCTTTCTTAATTTGGAAGTCAGTTTGACTCTGCAAAGTGCCGCTCTATGACTATTTACTATATTGATTTTCTTCATGACATCATTAAAGCAACTGGCTTCCTCAATCATCATAAAGTTAATTTCTTTTTCTCTTTGGTCTTTTCCAATTTCATTTACAGCCACATTTAAAAAAAAACAACAAAAAAACAAAAAAAAACCCTCTTCCTAATTATCATTTTTGCATCTTTCTGAGAAATTAACTATCATTTTCTTTCTTGTTGCTCTTCTTCGTTTCAAATTTTTCTACAAATAGATTCTTCCGCTTTTCAGAGATAAAAAGGAAGATGACTTCGTGCCATATACGGTTTTGAGATTATTTCCCTTTACAATCTCTATCTAATTTAATGGCTTCAACACATTATTTGTTTGCTTAAAAGACAATTATAAATTTTACTTCAACTCCAGCCTTGAAATTTGATATATTTGTTGTACAACATGAAGGGAAACTTTTTCTTTCTTTCCTCCACCTGAAGAAAGAAACACAAGAAAATTTCCCAAACAGAATATGCTAAATAATCCAAGTAATAAACATTGGAAAATAATTTACCAACACTGATAAAAAGCGACCATAATGGATGACACTAGCGTTTTGGTCTACAAGATGCACTTGCTAATAGTTGTTCAGATAAGAATCTTTATAGAGATCATTTTTTTTACATAACTCTAATTTCATTACCTTTTCTATCTTTTGCAAATTCTAAATTTTTCAGAAAGGTCTGAATCTATCTGTCCTTCTCCTCCTCCTCCTCCTAGCTATGGTTTAGGACTTGTATCAGTAAATCCTTATTATTTTCCCCCAAAATATTTTCTTGCCTTTTAAATAACCTGAAAAAGGGTTGATGAGCCATAAAAACAATCACTCAAAAACCATGAATTTTTTTCAGGTTTATGTATAATCCAGTTTAATCTCCCCACCTTCTCTCCTCTGAAGAGAAATTCCAAAACAGATCTTTCTGTTGGTCTTATAAACTTACTTTTCCATATTATCTGCTTCACAAGATATCTTACAGCCTCTTTCAACAGAATTTCGACAGTTGTCATTCAGTTTCGGAAGAATAGTTCCTCCTGGAAAACAAAATAATAAAAAAAAAAAAAAAAAAAAAAAAGCACACAGGCACAAAGTTGCTGGACTGGCAGACAAATAATAAATTGGGCTCCATTTTTAAGCCCAGTGCTGTTAAATTTTGAAAAAAGATATATGAAATTCAAAATTTAATATCTTTTGGCTTTCAAATGTAATTGATGAATCTAAACAAGTAGAGAAAGAGAGAGTTATTAATCTACTGTTGCAAAAGTAGATGATCTATTTATGGCTTCAATGTAAAACAAAACTACCCCCAATTCAAAATTTAGAAACATTGGGTTTTTACATGTAGACAAATCTGGTACCGAAATAAAGCCATCTTTCAAGGGATGTTTGAGTGATTTTACTAATGTACATGTTGTTCAAACTAATCCTTATCTTCACCAGTTATGACATTTCGGCTGATGCATTCCCTGGCTTTCTTTGATGTCCTTATCACAAATCCACAAGGTGTTTGAACAAATATCTTTCTCTATGTTAGTTTCATATGAAGATTTTGGCCATTTTCACATACCTAATTCAGTGATGATTGGTCTGATTTCTTTTTTTCTTATTTTTAATTTAGCCATGCCATTAAAGATGACAGCATATTTAAGCCATTTTGCAATCACATTGTATTGAAAAAAATATTACATATTTTATGTTGGTCTGCATTTTCAAGACTTCCTGAATATTAAACTAAAAGTAAAATTAATCTAAAGATAACAATTTATCAGGCTGTCTCGTTCCCTTACAATAAAGTATATACATATATTTAAATGGACTTTAAAGTTTTTTTGTTTTTTTTTTAAATAAAACAAAGCCAATCACAGAGTTTAAGGGTTTCTTTAACACAATATTTCTTATTTTTAATGATGAAAAATAAAATAAATGCTATGGTCTGCCACAAATTTCCAAGCACTCTTTCTTCATGATGCACCACAGAAATTTCAACTCTCTGATGCTAAGTATAAGAGTCCTTCTGTAGAACTATATTTCTGTTTTGAATTTTCCTAATAAACAAGACTTTGCTATACTAATAACTTCGATATTTGAGCATTGCTTTGAAGTAAACAGTTCATATCTGGCTACCATGTCATCAGTCGGTGATTGGCAGACAGGATTCGATGAATATAATTGAATCAATACAGTTATGTTTATTAAAATATCGACATCAGATTCCCATATTTTTGCAAAGATATAAAAATAAATGTTAATGAGAGCAGTTTGATAAATTATTAAAGTTTATTGTAACAAATATAAATTATTTTCTTACATATTTATAAGTCCACCATTTGTCCTTTCATTGAATATTGTTGCTACATCTGGTCTGGTGCTCCTGCTACAGATTTAGAGATTCTTGATAAAATCCAAAGAATCTGCAATGTTACTGGTCTTGACCTGGCATCTCACCTTCTGTCACTATCCCACTACCATAATGTAGCTTCCCTGTGCTTTTTCTATAAATATTTTCATGGTAATTGTTCTGATAAACTTTCCTCTATTATAGATTAACATTATGAATTTAAACACAGTTTTAGATTAGTGGCAAAACTCTCATAATTTTATAGTTGGAATGGCTACATTTAACTGTAAGTTCTATGCTAACAGTTTCTTCTATTGCACTTCTCGCTTGTGGCACTCTCTTCTGGCTTCTTGCTTCCCAGTCAAATTTGATATTCAAAAATTTATGCAATGTCAGTCCCTGTCTTCTTAATTCTTGTTCTTTTATTGTCCTCTCTCCTCAATAGTAGTTTTTCTCATTTTTTTTAACTCATTAACCCTAGTGACTTTATTGCCTTGCTTAAGGCGAAAGATTTAGAACAACAAAATTGTTTACCTGAAGCATTGAGAGTTTCTGGGGAGTGAGTGACAATGAGCTGCATGGAATGTTCTGGGAAAGACTCCATTAAAGGTTCATTGTGTATATCATGGCATTGTGTGTCATCCAAGACTGGCCATGATGTTGAGCTGACTGTATATTCAATTGGATTCATTGGGACAATGTTTGAGGCCAAAACTTCACAGGAAGCAGCAACGGAAACAACTTTTTCACAAGGCACATCCATCCAAGTACAAGTTTCACATTCTGAAACATTCACAATTTTGGATGCATTGAAAATCGCAAAGGTGCAGGCTTTAAAAATATATGCAATTTTTTCTCAAAATATGTTTTTAAAAACTAGAAACCTTCCATAGATATTTACTAAATTTAGTTTGGCACAAGGCAATGGTATTTCATTACCCAGTGGAGATAAAAGACACTACAATTTTTAGGATGAGCCTGCCAGCCAATGCTTTACAACAGGTATCCTAATTACTAAATTTAGCTCAGTCTGGCATAAGGCTACAGCAGTGGGGAACATATTTAGGATCCAACAAACTACAAAAGTGAATTGGTTCACCAAACAGACATGTTAACCATTGCACAATGGTAGGCACTGTCAATTATTGAGTGTTGATTAGTCTGGCACAAGGCTATATAGTGGGGAATAAAATTAAAATGAAATATACTTGTAATGGTTTTGGAATACTATCAATCAAGTAGAGAGAGAAAGAAAAACATTGTCAACAGAAATCAACATTGCAGTTTCACACTTTAAGCAATCATCAGTGTATTTATTAATCCTCTTTGTGTGGGCTTTATATACTGCGTGCCAAATTATTATCGAGATAACTTTTTTTCTAATATTTCAAAGACCGTCCAATCAATTCACACAATATTTTCACACAATGTTGGCAATACTGACCTGCACAATGTAAACAAACTGGCGTCATATTTGTTATCAGCACGGTGATTTGAGCGTGCCAAATTATTAGAAAAGTGTAAGAATTTAGTGAAAAGATGGGCCGTAAAAGCAGTTTAAGTGATGCTGAAAAGAAAACTATCACCTCAGAACTCTCAAAAGGTAAATCTACCCTATAAATTTCTAAAATGATAGGGAGGTGTCATCAAACAGTGAAAAAGTTCACCGCCGACCCTACACATGTACGCAAAAGGGCAGATAAAGGCAAGCCGAAGGTTATTTCACGTCGTCTCATGTCACGACTTAAACGAGAAGCCACGAAGAACCCTGGACTTACCGGTCAAGAGCTTATCAGTCGCATTGGGGATCCTACTGTGTCTAAAAGTACTCGGTTTTGGTATCTGAGGGAAATAGCAACAACAGTCAAACCTGTATCGAAGTCTCCGTTGACGAGAAATCACATTCAAAATCGATAGAAATGGGCCGAGCACAATATGAAGATTGACTTCTAAAGTTTTGTTCACAGACGAAACTCGAGCAACACTTGATGGGCCAGATAGGTGGTGCAAAAGCTGGGTAATGAGCGGACAGAATCGCCATCAGCGTTTGAGACGCCAACAAGGCGGTGGAGGCATAATGATCTGGGGTGGTATTATTGAAAAAACATTAGTGGGCCCATGGAGAGTACTAGATGACGTCAAAATGACAGCTGATGCATACATAGCGTTTATGAAAAAGCATCTTGAATCGTGATGAAAAGGCAAAGAGTTGCCTTCAGAAGGGCCATTGTTTTTTATGCAAGATAATGATCCCTCACATGCTGCTCACAAGACTACTGAATATTTGAAACAGTTAGGTTTCGATGGACCTCAAAAAATGAAGTGGCCAGCAAATTCTCCGGATTTGAACCCAATCGAAAACCTTTGGAGCATCATGAAGCGAAGACTATACGCCAACGGACGACAATTCAGGAGCAACGCTGAGTTGTGGGAATCAATCCTTGACATATCTCGCGGCATTACAGCAGATGACATCCTACAATTAACAAATTCTATGGATCGTCGACTTCTTCAAGTAATTTCAAAACAGGGAAAGCACATTCCCTATTAATTTGTTTAAAACTGTGATTTGTTTGTATCTGTTATTTGTTTATCTTATTTATTAGCTTCTTTTGATCATAAACATTCACGTGCAACATTAATAAACGTTTTGTTTGCTCAATTCTGGGAATTTTATTAAATCTTTCTAATAATTTGGCACGCTCAAATCATCGTGCTGATAACAAATATGGCGCCAGTTTGTTTACATTGCGCAGATCAGTACGAAAATTTCAGTGATTGCGTAGGTCAATGTTGCCAACATTGTGTGAAAATTCTGTGTGCATTGATTGGACGGTTTTTGAAATATTAGAAAAAAAGTTATCTTGATAATAATTTGGTACGCAGTGTATTTAGATCACTGGAGTTTTATAGGAAGGGAGGAACATTTTTCCCCCTTTTCGAGGTATTGCGGTGCCAAGTGAATTGCGCATTTAATAAAACAGGATGAAACAAAGCATTCCTGTAATCAACATTCCTGTTTGAAGCTGAACATTTGATGGAATTTAAAAAAAAAAAAGTCAGACCTTGTGAGTCGGTGATTTGTGTCGGTGGAGGAGAACTGTTTTCTACCAAGTTCCATAATTCTTGCAAATCAAGTGATGGTTGGTCACCCAACTGAGTTGATTCATTGAAGCTTCTTTGACCTTCAACTTCACAATCACACATCTTCATCAAGGACATGGCATCAGCACAATCTGAAACAGCAACATTTTTCTTTTTTTACACTCACTTCATATTTCAAACATTATTTTAATCCCTTCACCAAAACAAAATATTTTATATTGTTACTTCGCCATATTTGGTGAGAATTTGGTTAAAGTAAGCATACAAATAAATAAACATATAAAGAATGAGACACATTATTCTAATGAAAAGACTGATATAGATACCAGTGTATGTCCTGGGCAAAGCTTATATATATATATATATATATATATATATATATATATATATATATATATATATATATATATATATATATATATATAAGATCAATGCAAACTATTAAGTCAATAGAGAGAATCTCGAAATGTAGACAGAACAGATTCAAAATTACATAAGAATACATGTGTATATATGTGGGGGGTATGTGCGCATTTAGTGGCATATATGTATGTATATGTAAATGTACACGTGTATGTGTGAAGATATGTACGCATATAAATGTGTTTGACAGCATGATTTATTCCATTCTGTGCTCTGGTATTACCCACAATCTATAACTCAACTAATTTACATTAATCTTAATGGGTTTAAGTTTAAATCCCCCATTGCTTATTAATAATATTGAAGGTTTGTATTATAAATACTATTTACAGTGAATGCCAGGAAAACACATTTGGGGCTTGTATAAGAAACGCCACATGGTAGGAACCGATATTTAGCCACAAACAACGAAAGGCTCTAGCCATAAACTCCAGCCCCTACCCGCTTCTCCGTAATAAGATAACTGACGCCCTCTACCAGTCGCTAACACAAGCCCCCTCTCACTAACAAGACGTCTACCAGAGGAGGACTGACAGTGAAAATAAATTTAAAAGAATGCTTCAAGACAGACACTTAGGCGCTTATGATAGCTGCGTACACACCATCTTGAAATAGACTATCACCATGTGGAGGTAATTTGGGGGTTTTTGCTGTAAAAAATACATATGCTCTGTTATAATAAATATATCGAGCTCTCAGTGGATAAGTTTTAGTAATTAATATTAATAGGATCCACCCTGATTATATACCAACGGATTGATTACCTGTATATATATATATATATATATATATATATATATATATATATATATATATATATATATATGCATTCCAGAAGCTTTGAGATTTGTTTTTAGGAGAGACAGTTATAACTGTCCTAGATTATTGTAATATTAATATATCATTGCTCTACATCTAATAAGCTGACCTGCCAACTTTTGTTATTCCTGATTGAAGGAGACGGCTGTAACAGCTGTTTAAACACGCCCTACTAAACACTGTCACGAGTTTGCAAAATGTCTATGAGATGTGAAGACAGTTTGGACGGTTGCTATTCAATAATGTTTTGTGCTGACAACGATGGGCATCAAAAGTGTTCCCACCCTGCCTAAAGTCCAGACCTTGACCCCTCCGATTTTTGCTTGCCTCCCAAACTGAAAGAAACCCTTAGGGACAGTCGTTTTGAAGACAGTGAGAAGATGAAGGAGGCTGTCAAAAGGGTTCTGGACACCTTCACTTTGGATGACTTCCATGGGGACCGTCAAAAAGTGGCTTGGAGGCACAACAACAAAACTGCATTGAAGTCAGACGATCAAACTTTAAAGAAGATTACAGTTTTGTACTTCTTTGAAATTAAATGCCTCTCCTGCAAAAAGTCTCAAAACTTCTAAAATGCACCTAATGTGTGTGGGGGGGTATCGTTGACAGCATTAGTCGACGTCTCAGTTGTACATTACAATTCTAAATTTCTATTGAATAAAAAACAAACTTTACATTATTCCGACTTTGTCCTCATCTTTGTCGCCATATTTATTACAACGTTTCGGTCGTTGTACGCTCCGGCCTTCTTCAGGTGGTTGGAATGTCGAACTTAACCCTTTATTTCGCACACTGGGCTAGACTTCTAGTTCAACGTGTCATGTCACGTTGTAATAAATATGGCGACAAAGATGAGGACAATAGTGCGAATAATGTAAATAATGTACATAATACCTCATCTCAGAAATATAGACAGATACCAAAAAACAAACTCTGTTGGTGCAGATGCATAAAGCAAAATGAAAAAAAAAAAAACAAATTTGTCCTTGTCTGTTAATTCTGTGTATCACTCAGCTTCACTGAAGTGACACTTATGCAATTTATTGGCACCTAATTCACATTTGTTACAAATATTTTAATGATTAGACATAATCTTACTTGATTTGTGTTTATGTAACCAGTGATATCCTGGGTAGGATTTTTTTTAAACTAATGACTTAAAATTTCCATTCACTCACATAATCACGTGATACAAATTTTGTCGCTTAGAGAGAAAAAGAAACAATGACCATAAATGTATTTTAGTGCCAACCTCATGAAACCCCGTTTTATATAAGGAAGATTTACTTTTTTTCTGAATGTTTTCCACTGACTTCACCTCTGCACCACCATTTTATCTCTTAGTTCTTTTGTAGCAAAAATGAAATATTTCTAGCATGAGGCAGAAATTTGATAATTAAATATATAATTTCTGATCCAATATTTGGGCAAGTTACTGCGTTCAATCTATGTTTTGTTCATGGAAAGACGAGAAGAAAAGGATTGTCAATGGTCAGGAATGAAGCAAAAATTACAGAGAGAATGTGGTTATTATATGTTGAAGGTAAATTCACTTTTAATCTCGATAATACGATAAAAATGCATTGGGAATCATGAAGAAGATGATTGTCAGTTGTGACAGTCATGACTGATAAACTATAATTCTTTGGCGCCAAAGACAACCCACAACTTGACAAATTTTGCAAGGAAAACAGAGATTAATGTGCAAGGTCAACATTTGAAACTTATTTAGGATGTGACATAAAAGCACAAAATAATGTTTCTTTTCTGTAAATGTTGGTCAAATTCTTCTGCATCAAAGTATATTTAAGATAACAACATTTTATATGAATAAAGGTAGCGTCCTACAAACCTTGCGAGTCGACATTTTGCGTGGATGAAAAATTCCCTTCTACAAGATTCCACAATTCTTGTAGGTCAAATGAAGCTTGGTCACCGAATTGGATTGTCCTCTCAACATTGTCTTCATTGTTCACTTCACAGTCTGGATCCCTCAATGCAGACAACGTGTGCACATATCCTGTCAAATGGGCGAATTGGCGCCAAGAGAGAGAAAAAGAGAAACAGTAAAGGAAAATTGTTTTAGATCCAATAAGAAAGGCTTCTTCTGAACTAAATATTTCAAATTTGCACTTTGAAAGGATGAGTTGTTATAGTTTGAAAAGAAACGCCTTTCTTAGATTTATTGACAAATCTGAACAACTAAAAAATACTTCATATTTATATAAGATTTAGTAAAAAAATAAATGGAATGACATTAAATTTTTAATCAAGAAATTAAAACTAAGATATCAATCATTTCCGTATTTCATTTCTCAAGTTTAAAACAGATTCAGCGATATAATGTAAAAGACGCAATAAAAAAATAACACTTTTGACCACAAATATTCTTGACGTCCTTTCCCACTGTAGTACTCTCTTATACATTTTCGATTTATTTAGTCAATCCGCGGAAACGTTAAATGGAATTAAACAAACCTCTAATAACGTAATCCTATGTTCTAATCATTCAGCCGTACTCAGTCGCAATTCATTCTCTGTGATCTGCGCATGTCTTTAATCAATCTCCTAATGAATTTGCCATTATTTGATAAATCATTCAAACATGTCGTACCTCTTTGTAAGGTGAGGATACCTGTCCAAATGATTCATCGAACAATTTAAAGTCTTCCTCACCAGTATAATCCACATTATTGGGCGTGGCATCTTGTCCCCAAGGAGTTGTACGTAAAATCTGTAAATCGCCTTCGTTAAACATCTCTCCTGTGTTCCCTTCTACAGGGACGATGATGTCGCTAGTAGAGGTGATTTCCGGAATCCAGTCCGTGGTTTCTTGTGCACTGTTCAGATTGGATAACACAACTTGAGCCTTTTGTGCACAAACAGAAATTGACGGATAAAATTGGGTCTGTGTTTGGTCATCCCGATGTAGAAACACTTGATTCCTTGGGACCATGTAGTCTTCTCGAAGCTTTTTTATGTATTTGATCGAGCGCTGATTGTCCCTTTCGTAGAGCCAGTCTGAAATTTAGAAAGATTTAACAGAGATTAACATTTGGCAATTTGCCCTCGAGATACTGGAAGATTTACACTCTACTCTCGTGTGATTTGGGTGTAGTGGAACTCTCCCTTAAGTAGAGTGGAACTCAAAAGAGTTAATTTCATCATGTAGATCCTTTATCACCATTACTCTGGCCAGTCAGCACCCGGTGTATAAAACATTATACACGTAAGCAATTAATTCTCGCTGTACCGAGCTCTTTACAATTGTAAAATGATTTGGAAGTTATCAGTCGACAGTCCTTTTCTCACCAGACTCAAACTCATCCATTTTCACCAGCCGTCTTCTGAAACTCACTTCATTCGGGTTCCGTCAATCAACAATTCCTATGTTGCGGATGTGTGTGATGTGTGTTGGAGAGGAATTGAAGGTTTGAATTATCAGAAGGCTTAAAATTGTGTGTGTTCAATAATCTTCCATCCACAACAATTAATACAAGGCATAGAATAATTATTCAAAAACATAACGTATTGTTTCAAAACGTAACAATTGAATTTATTAATATTTGATATACATGCATGAATACTGAGTGAAAAGGTTAGACAGAGTTGTGTCTCTTAGACTAGGTAATATTTGTACCTAAGTTCATAAAGTGAAAGTAATTATTAAACTGTAGTTTAGAAGAATAAAGTTTCTTTAGCATGTTTGGAATTGTGTATTGTACAAGTTGGTAAAAGTTCAGAAGAGATTTCAGAGTTTGTACTTGCGTGAAAGTTTGTAATGGTCTTTAACGTCTGACTGCATTAGTTAAGACGGGAGTTCTTGAAGATTACATCTTGGCAGCAAGGAGAAATATGAATGAAAAGAAACAAGAGGGAGTTTACACGTGTTCTGTTTTTATAAGATAGTGTATCACGTGGGAGGCTCCGAGCATATTGAGCGGGAAAACAGATTTGTCACGTGCAGGCGGTTTGATTGGTCGGAATTGACCAATAAGCAAGCTAGATTGAAGGTGATTAACCAATGAATATTTTATATATTTTGTAAGATTGTGATGGTGAAAATTACAACAGGAATAGTGCATTTCCTAGCAGGGGTTAATTGGCTTGTTGTGGAAGATTCCACACCTACACTACGTCATTCTGACCTAATCGTGAGAGTTCACAATCACAACCAGCATCACCCTGACCGACTTGTAAACCTTATCACAAACTCAAATGGACAACAACCTAATCGAAGACTCATTTATAAGCATCATCAATAAATTTATGTGCTATTGTTATTTTAATTTTGCATTCTTTTTCTTAGTTTCCACCAAAATACATATTCTTCACCATTACGCTAGTGATTTCATCAATTTCACAAATGCCAAGAAAAATGTGTCTATATGAAAACCATAGTCAAATTAAGGTGTCTTTTTTACCGGAAATAAAATATTCTGTGTTTTCTTTTTAAAATATAAAAGAGATACACGTCCGTTTAAGAAATATTATTAAAATTATTAAAACAAACAGAAACCATTGTTTAAATATGCTGAATTCAAAGTAAAAGTAAATCTTTCGAGTGGGCTATGAATTCACATATCCAATTCTTTTATTCTTCCTGTTTATGAAGGCAACAGAGAATTCTGCGTTTCTGTGAAAACAAAAAATAAATTTTAAAAAAGCCGCCTCTGGACTGTATTTTTCAACAATTAAACAAAGCCGCGGTATTGGGTGAAGCACTGCGCTTGTCCTTTGACAGAACCATCACGAACTCTTTTTTTTTTAACTTGCTACAAACGAACATCATCATTCAAAAAAAAAAAAAATAGAAAAGAAAATCTAAACTTTTCCCTCCTATTTGGTTAATAAATTTATTTTTATGGATGCACAAGACGCCTTAGAGAGAGGGCGTTTGTCATTTGGTCTCCAGTCAAACGTATATCGCAATGAACGCAGCATACCAATACCCTACCAAGCGTATGTAATAATTCTATCAAATCGACTCTTCGCAAAATTAATTCTTCTCTGGAATTTACGAAAAAAGACATCTACGCACATCCACATTCATTCACCCCTTTAGTATTCTTTCTATTTAGTTTGCTAAGGCAATAAAATATATTGTTATTAATTAAACATAATTATTTGTATATTCATTCTTATTATTTGAGGAATTACCTCATTACCTACAATTTAATCATTCTATCGTTGCCATTCCATACAAATGTATTTCAAATTCCATAATAAATATGCATTTCGTTTATACTGTTGTTGAATTACCGGCCCTGATAATAATTGCAGTCGGCGCGATTTTTTGTAAGGCTTAGCCTATTCTTCCTTTGACTTTGGGAGTGTTGGGTTTGTAAAATTTGTCTGCTCCTATATAGAGAGATTGGTCACATGATCTGTTTATATTTCTGAGATGAGGTATTATGTACATTATTTACATTATTCGGACTATTGTCCTCATCTTTGTCGCCATATTTATTACAACGTTGGATGTCAGTTTAACAGGAGATAACTGATAACTGACATCCATTAAACATGACACGTGGAACTAGAACAGTCTACCTCAGTGAGCGAAATAAAGGGTTAAGTGCGACATTCCAACCACCTGAAGAAGGCCGGAGCGTACAACGTCCGAAACGTTGTAATAAATAAGATGAGGACAAATAGGACAATAGTCCGAATAATGTAAATAATGGTCACATGATGTTAAGCGGTCTCTCATTGGTTAATAAAACCACGTGGGTTTAGAAAAAGCTGACCACCGCGAGAAGCAACCGAACCTACTCCGAAGCAATACGCAAGAAATTCTCTCCGCGGCCGACATTAACAGTCGCTGAGGATTTTAAACGTACAAGTTATCTAGCCCTATTTCACTCAACCAGATGGCTAAGTCCGCCTCACATATTCTGTATATATAAGATAGGACATTGTTGTGTTTATGTTAACTATTGTATTCATGTTTAGGTGTAAATAAATATCTTTATGTTGATAAAGTCTTTTTTTTTATTTGTGCCAATCCCAAAGTAAAGGGGGATTAGCGCAATAGGAACAACAACACGTGCGTTTCGTTTCTCTTCGATAAAACACGTGTCATGCAAGTACACATCAGAGACACCAAATGAAGATGGTGTTAAACAAGAACTAAACTCCAACGATGATGTTCACGTCTTTCTTTTACTCTACTGCAAACATGTTTTGTTAATACATTTATTAGTTACTGTTTGTTTAAATTCTATGTCTCGTGTCCTTTTCACCTGATTAGCCCGAATCTGCCAAATATTATTTTTGCAGGAGAAATACTAACAGCACAGTTATAATACGATCATTCTTTCCGTTCCGTAACATTGAATAATTTTTAAGTTTTACTTCTTATCTCTGACATAATGTTGTTTAAGTTTCTTTTTATTGCTTCTTGCCTTTTAGTGTCTTGGCTGTAAAGTATCATCACCAGTTATCGAAGAAGACTATAAAATAATCTCAGCTTGTTTTCAAGCCATTCGGGGACAACTTAATACAAATACAAATGATTTACAGTCGACTTGAAAAGTGTCATTACGCACGAACATACATACATACAAAAATACAAATTACATACAACGTCAAGCATTCATTGGTTAATTAATCACCACTACGTTATTATAGGCAATTTACAAATCGCAGTAATGCGACAATTTTGTAATCGCTCTATTCTTAAGTAGTTAATTTTGTGCAGTTTTGGAAAGAATAATTTTTCTCGCGCAACGATTTGGAGCCTACAGTTGCTTATTTAAACCAATATTTTTCTTAGCCCAATTAGTGAGAATTCAACTGCCAAACGAATCCACGACAGTTGAAACCATGCGCCAACTTTCTCACTCACATGCTGAACTTACCTTGTACAAACTCACATAAACTCTTCTTACACAGCAATACCTTTCAAGAACAATCATTACAAGAGATTCTCAAGAACATTCTTACAGTGAACTTTGAACCAAATGACTATTTCTCATTGGACACTAAAATAACAATTAAAGAGAGACAACTCTTGTTTATTTCAACCTTTTCTTACTTAAATGCATGCTTTCCTTCACATCGTTGTTTGATATTGTACATCTTGTTAAATACATATTTTATGTGTAACAATGTCTTTTTGTTATCCTTTTTTGCGTGAACCTTGTTTCTTAATCTAAAGTTAAATTAATGTGAAGTCCGCCACATCATCATCTAAAAAAAGGAATTTTAATGTTAGAATATTTCAGATGTTTGAAATTAAAACAAATGACGAGACCTCATACCGGGATAATCGTTCTGATGTCTGTATCGGATTCTTTTCGCCTCTTCGAAGAAGGGTTTTTGCTGTTCCCAAGTCATACTTCGCCATATGTTGCCCAGGTAAATACTGATTTGGGAGTTGGGGGCTCCGGGAAACATTTGCACCATCACAGGTCGATAAGCACGACCGAACAGCATAAAGGCGTTCATGGGTCGTTTGATGTTGCCGTGTTTATTCCACGGGCTGTTCGATTTGCTTGGAAAATTTGTACCTGAATTGAAAACAGACAAAATAAAATAAGAAACGGACTTTTGAAAAATAAATGATTGCAACATCAATCTTCTTGTTTTTGTCCTGTGAATGGCGATATAAACTATATCCTTCAGTAAGGCCTCCTATCAGGGGATTGGAGCTTTTGCGGAGCGTAGAATTGCCTCTTAATTGCTGTCGTTCCCAGTTTCACTTAGCCCGGTGTGGCATCACCTGTTAGGGTCCCAACTATGGATAAATAGTGAACCCACAAATAAAAATTAAAACACAATATATGAAAGTACATTTTTATAGTAAAAATACCAACAATACATTTTTATAGTGAAATTACCAGCAATATATTTTTGTAATAAAATGACCAACAATATATTTTATAGTAGAATTAGCAACAATAGATTTTTATAGCAAAATGACAATCAATATATTTTATAGTAAAAATTGCCTAAAAAGAAAAAAAAACAAAAAGCAATCGGCTATGATTAAACCTCATTTTTTTGTCAGGAGAAACAAGTTTTCCACGCCTTTTTTGATTTTGGAACATTATTTGGTAAAAATAAATGCAGCTAAGTAATTATAATTTAATCACGAAATAATATCATTCTCTTGAATTAATTATAAAGTCTGAATTAATTATAAAGTTTGAATTTTCATATTTAAATTTCGGTGCTCAATAACCCATAGAGGTGTTGATATGCCACTAAACCAAAACAACAAAGCAACTTTTCCTGTTCATAAAAAAGAATTATTTAATTGCACTGGCAATTATTATTAATGGAAGCGTTGACAATTATTATTAAAGTAAATATTACCAATTATTATTAAAGAAACTATTGGTATTTATTATTAAAGGAAATACAAGTACTTATTATTAAACGAAGGTTTGACAATTAATTTTAAAGAAACCATTGACAATTATTAATGAAAAAAAGTATTAGCAATTATTGTTATTAAATGCATCGTGGACAGTTAAAGAAATCATAGGCTATTATTATTAACAGATGAACTAGCAATGTTTATTAAAGAAAGTATTATAAAAAATATAGGTTATCTCCCTTTGGTAAATAACACCTACTGATATTAAGAATGATAATAATGGGTAAGATCCAAAATTAGGCGTCAAATAGAATTTCGGCACCAAGGTGGAGGCCGAGAAGACTACGAACGGGACAGACGCGTTTTCAGCCTGCCCCAAGAACAGGTAATACTAGCCACGAGCAAACTTGAATGATGCTAGAACAAGCAGCTATTGGGAAAAGATATAAGCAGAACAGATAAGAAGAGTTTCCTATTTCACGCAAACACGTGTTTTGGATATCGTCCCCGACTTTTAACTGCTAAATAAAAGAATACGTTTTTAACAATCCTCTATTCTCTTTCTCGTTATGTAATGCATTTCTTATATAAAGTAACTTTTCAAACTGTTCAATTGTGTCATCTTTGTTCATCAAGCCACGACTCAGTTTGGGGAGTCGTTAAATTTCCCACATTTTGCTAAAACGTTTTTGCAGTAAGCAATTTTGCCCACCATATACACAATTTTGGTAAACAAAAAAAATCTATGTATATGTCTGTGGCTTGGTCGGGGCAGCGGCCTGCTGTCTTTGGTCAGGATCGATCCTGGTATCGGAGAACAAGCCGTCAGCCCACACTTGTCGGTTGGGTTTGACACAGCAGCTGGTCTTTAAGTTGACCTCTTCAACTATGACCTCTCTTACCCACATTGTGATTTTTGATCATAAGAGAGTCAAGTTAAATTATCACTGTTGTATCTCAACCAAGCTAAACCAAGGAGCTGAATACGCACATAAAATTGAAAATAAAATAAACAATCCTCAAATAAGCCACTAGATGATATTTATATCAAAATAATTACAGTCTTTTTTGTTTTCTTTTTCCAACCTGTTTCTAATATTTGGCGACGGAACGAAAATTTCAGCTAACTCCTCTAAAGATGGCCAGACTTGACAACTGGATTTCTTCAAGTACTGGTGATTGTACTTTCAAGGACGGCACAGGGATATCACAATTTTTCTTCAGTGACAACTGGATTTAAATTCAAGTACTGTTGATTGTATTTTCAAGGATGGCACAAGGATATCGTCGGAGTCTTTCTTCTTCAGCAAATAATTATTATTATAATTATTATCATTATTAGGTTGGCAAAACAGCATAATGGCAAAAAATCTCTTAACTCCCCGTCCGCAACTACTGCAACTCGCCACAACTCCGGACCGCAACTCTTTTAGCCCCCGTGGGCGCTTGTATTTATGGTTGTCCATTCTGAACTGGTATGGAGAAAGGTGCATAAGGGGGTTTTAGGCAAATATCCTAAAATTCGACCAGTATCCTTCCTTCGTTCTCTGTTTCACACTTCCAATTTTGGAAGATCCCCCCTTCTTCGGGAGGAGCCATTATATGACGTCAGTTATCCTGACGTCTCCCCCTGCCTTCAACAATTGCTCATTCTGCCTTCACAATTATAATTTTTTCCAGGGAAATTTTGGTTGATAATTTTCTCAACATGTAGACATTGACACCTTTCAAAACTCGACTGTAGCCCCTGACCCCAGAATCTGCCAGCTGTGTCTCGTCGGACAGTAACAATTGTATTTTGTATTTTTTTCAACAGAATTCGTTCTCAATGCCCTGGCAAAATGAGTCTCTTTCTGATAAAAAAAAACAAAATAAAATCGTTTTTTAACCCTTTTCGTCCGTACACCATGTTAAATATTGTCACATCGTGAGCAATTTGTTGAACACATAAAACAATATTGTTGGCACGATGACAGATTTGAAAGAAAATATCTCCTGGTCTGCTGTCCTTTTTATATATGAAAAAAAAAGTAATTTTTTGCCTTCACCGTTTAGTGAAATTAATTATTATGGTGCTTTTTATGTTCAATTCTTTTCCCTTTTACCTTGTAAATTAACTTCCCAATTCTTGCTGATATTATGCCGTCTTCCCAAGTTTCTTTGCCATCTTTATATGCTTTAAAGAAAACTTTATCGTCGACCTTAAAACTTTCAGTGTCGAATTGGAATTGCTAAAGCAAAGATAAAAACTTATGGGATTCTTTTTTAAGAAAGGAAGAAGCCATCATCGAAAATCTTCAGGGTGAAATTCGAGCTTTGGATAGTAAAATTAAAGAGATTTGTATCAAAACCAACCTCGATTTAGAGAAAAGTGATTTTATGGCTGAACCGGGGAACGGATTTGTTTTTCGAGTCAGCGTCTGTAATCGGCTTGCAGATATTGAAGGAATCTGTTCGAGAAACGAGTATTTCCCACGCCAACGAAGCCAGTTCCTTATCCGATAGCCATTCAATGGTCTCAACTCACAAATTCCAGTGTGCTACGTTTAGCGGCATTAATCCTTCTAAATTTGAATTTAAGAATTTTATAGCACAGTTTAACAACTGTACTAATTCCATCAATTCTCACAAAGCAAAGCTGGCCTTCTTAAAAAGTAAAAGTAAACTCGTAAGGCACATCATATTTCATAAGCTACCCCATAGTTTAAGGCGGGAAATCATTCACAAGGTAGGTAGCAGTTATCCTTTCTAAGAGATGTATTTGAAAATTATAATGAAGCTATCCGCACACTGACGAAGAATAAGGCTCTTCCGTGTATAGGAAAAGGATGCTAGAAGTAATAAATACGATGAAAAGGAAAATAATGCAGAATTTCGCCATTAGCACTAATGGGAAGCCATGTAAATTTTGTGCATCATGTGATCAACCCATGGGGACGTGTTCGAAATATTCTTCCTATAAGACTAGAACTGCTAAATGCAAATATTTGTATTTCTGCATTGGATGCTCCAGTCTCAGGCATAAGGATGAAGATTGCTCTGGACTTCAAAATAAATTATTCCTTTCCTGTAAACAATGTTCTTCAAAGGAACATATAACGCCACTATGTGATAATCGTAAGAAGGGGATATCTCTTTTACTCGTCTAGGCGCCAGTACGAATGAAGAAAACAATTTAATGCTACCTATCGTGGAAGTCACATTATATTGGGTCGTTAAGAATGTCTCTATAAACTACTTATTGGACACAAGTAACCAGCGGTTATATTTCTCTAAAGGAATATTAAAGAAGTTAAAATGTCCCGACTGAAGTCTAAATCCTGCAGATTACCAAGTAAAAACTATTGATTAATGAATTCCACCAGCAACCCAAACCTCTAGGGATTAATATCACCATAGGTTTCTGGATTCCTCAAGCTCAGGCAGTAAAGACGGTGTTGAGTAAATGCACCGTTTGCAATACAACAATTTGTCCTTTAAGTGTCCCAGGTTGACTAATCATATAAAGTTCAAAATATGTTTTCAAAATATTCAATTGTCACATCTTTGTTCATCAAGCCACGACTCAATTTGGGGAATTATTAAATTTTCCACAGTTTTGGCATTTATTATTAAAGGAAACAATGACAATTATGATTATTAAAGCATTAGAAATATTATTGAAGTCATGAGCAATTATTATCAAAGAAAGCAATGGCAATTATTAGTAAAGGTGTTGGCAATTATTATTAACGAAAGCATTAGAAATTATTTTAGAATGCACAAATAATTATTATTAATGGCGTTATTGCAAATTAAACGAAGTTTTAAAGGAGGCAGTTATTATTAAATGAAATTTTGGTAATTACAGTGTAACCCGGATATAAGAGACCCGGATATAAGAGAAACCCGGATATAAGAGAGATTTTCTCAGGTCCCAAATTAGAGCCTGTGTTAATGTATATAAAATAGACCAAACCCGGATATAAGAGAAACCCGGATATAAGAGACTTCTTCTCCGGTCCCGACAACTCTCTTATATCCGGGTTACACTGTATTATTAAAGGATGAACTAATGAAGCATTGCTAATTATTA